AGAGCAATGTCAGGCGAACAGTAAAAGGGTCTCAGGTACAAGGCTCCTGCCTCCAGCCCCTCACCATCCCCGCTCCAGCTCCTTGTTAGGACTTGCTAACGAAAGCCGGGCATGGTGGTGCACACACCTGTAATCCCACCACCAGGAGGCTAAGGCAGGAGTGTCATGCTAAATTCAAGGTCAGCCTGGACCACACAGTGAGTTCAAGGTTAGCCTGAACTACACAGAGAGACTTTGTCTCAAAACAAACAAAAATAGACAAGTGGTTTCTAGTACAGCTGCAACTCCAGCGGTGCCCTCCCTGCTCTCGAGGTGTGAGAATGGAAGGTCGCGCTCTCATCACTTGGCTTTTGGTCCCCACTCCCATTCTGAGGCTGTTTAAAGTCAAGCCATCTCATTCGCTCCAACACTGATGTGATCAACAAGAGATTATGAATTAGGAGTAATTCAAGCGACTGCAATGATTTTAGAAGCTCTGTGTCGGGAAGACCACAGAGACTACAGAAATGACTACCCGTCTCCAACTGGAAAGTAAATTCCATGCAGCATAAGAATTTTTCTGTTCTTACTCAGTTTTAATTTTATTTTCAATTTTATTCAATATTAGATCCCAGCAAAACCATGCAACATTTAACAATAAACAATATTTCAGTGCTACACAAATATCTGAGTAGCTGAATAAGCTAAAAACCAAGTCTTCTAATGTTTCACTCATTTCATTCAATCCTCTAGTGACCATAAAAATTAGTCACTATTCCACTTTTCCTGTGATTTAAATATATTAAGAAGATTTTAAGATTTTTTTGTCTTGTCTTTTTGAGAAAGGGCTTTGCTACGCAGTCCAGGCTGGCCTTGAACTCCCAGCAATCCTCCTGCCTCTGCAGAATAGGGTGCTGGAATTATAGGCATGTGCCATCACACCCTGCTTTTAAAACCTTAAAGAGGGGACAACTATTTGGAAGAAAACTAGAGACAATAAGATAGATAGTGAAGATCTCCAGTGGACCTGCTTTAAAATCTGTATTTCTTTAAATTGTTTCTTTATGAACTGTTTTGTTCTGTTTTGATATGTTTAATCTTACCCTCCTTAACTTAAAAAACAAGTGTGTAAGACTGACAACCAGAGTGCTAAGTTTTCGTTGGATCATTGGGCAGAACTGTTGGCAGTGTCATGATTTGAATATCACTTTATATTTCTAAGATGACAATATGTAACTTATCAACTGCTGAATTCTGTTTATTTTTCTGTAATTCAGTATTATTTCTCCCTTTGTTTTCCTCCATATTTTTCTTTGTTTTTTTCTCTTTAAATTAAAAAAAAAAAAAACCTTAAAGAAGAAGAGTTACCACCGAAAAGTTCTCCCTTCCTGCTCTGGTACTGGTCCACCGTGTTGTCAGATGTTGGCACCTTGATAACAGACTTCCCAGCTTCCAAAACTGGGAAGCAATGAATTTCTGCACGTTATCTAAATTGCTGAGGCTAGGGCGTTCTGTTACTGATGCAGTCTAAGCTACTTCTCACTTAACAGAAGATGGCAGCAGGAACGCAGGTACAGTTAGTGGCATGTGCAGGGTCACCCGATAGCACAGGAAAGAATTCTAACCCAGGGCTTATCACTAGGCCTCTTCAAATCCGTATGTTGTTACCTGAGCAAATCAAACTATCAGACAATCTTTTTAAAATTATAACTATGTTAGTACAGAGGAGAAGGAGTATAACATTTATCCTAAAGTATGTATCTTCGGGTGATGAGAGCCAGTTAAGACTGCCAAGTACACAAACTCACCTTGCTGTCTCTATCAGTCTCACGTAGCACTAACTATCCATGCAGCTGACAGAGGAAATGGGGCACTCGATGTGAACAGGCCACGTCACACTTTCCTCAAACAATTGCTAGGACTCCTCCAGACCGTCATCTCTGTATGCAGCACATTCTCCTCCGTATGCCAGCTGATCAAGCCAGAAACATGTGTCTCTCATGAAATTTTCTCTCTATGATCACTGCCAACATGTTAGTGGGGCAGGAGTCTTTTCTGGATTCCTGCAACACCGTCCTTAATTAACACTTCCACGCTTCCCCACTCATATTTTCCACCTAGGAAGCAGTCGGAGTGATCTAGTAAAAATGAAAATCTTGCCTGTAATCCCAGCACAGGGGAGGCCGAGGCAGGAGGATCGTTGCAAGTCTGAGATCAGGTTGGGCTTCAATGTGAACTCAAGGTCAGCCTGAACTGCATAGTGAGACCTTGAATCAAAAAGATCAAAAGAGAAAAGAAAAAGAAGAAAGTCTTACCATGTTTTAAAACCTTCAGTGGTAGCCAGCGGGCTTAAAATGAAATGCAGACTCCCTAACCCTTCTTACAGTCTCATGCCTGACACTGCTGCCTTTAATCACTGCTGCTCTGGTGATACGGTCCTTGGTTTTATTCTTCCAAACTACAAAACTTTTTGCTCTCTGAGGCTCTTCTGACAGTCTGCACTCGGCCTAACTGTGCATTGTTTACTTGGCTGTTACTTATCTTTACTTCATTTCACTGATAAAAGATTCTACTTTGGCTTAGTTCTCCCACTACCCCGTACTAAGGACTCCGTTTTCTATTATCCAAGTGTCGTTGTACATCCTTGTAAAACCAGGATTCTGTCAGACTGAGGAAGAGAATCACAAATTCGAGCCCAACTTGGTCCATTTAGTGACTTAATGAGACTCTGCCATAAAATAAAAAATTTTAAAAGACTGAGGATGTAGCTCAATGCAAGGGTGGTAACTTTGATCTCCAGTACCACTAACAGGAAAACAAAGACTTTCAGTTGATTGAGGGCTGCACACATCATGGAGGATAATCTGCTTTATCAGCTCTACCGCTGTAAATGTTAATCCTTCTAAGGAACACTTTAAGTGGATTAGAAAAATTATGTCTGATCTAAAACCTTTTCTGCTACCTGATGATATCCTTAAGTAAATTTTCAAGTACATTTGGATTGGAATGGCTAGGAACTTTGGAAAATAAAAAGCTGCTTTTGAATGTAACAGTGAACACTTTTTTTTTTCGTTTTCCATCGGGAGTAATTCAGGAAAAATAAGCCTTTTAAAATACAAGCCACAGCCTGGCAAGCGTGAAGTCCTAAGTTCAGTTCCAGAACCAGATAGATCAATCAATCAAGCCACAGTATAAATCAATGCAAATGTGATCATACTATAAAAACTGCAATACTGTTTTTCCTCTTAATGACAACTTCATCCTTAATGACAATATAGAGTTCATTGGTTGTGGATTTTATAATTTGTTTAATAAATATACAAATGATTTGTTTTAGGATTTTTAAAAACTATTGTTCTAAGTTAAAAAAATGTTTTATTGTTCTTCAGTGTGATTTCTATACTTGGATGTGATGGATTCCTTTATGAGAGATGAACTTAGGAACTAAAAGGGAAGGATTTTGGAGTGAGAAATGAATTTGAATTTGAATTCACCTTGCAAGGAAAGTTAAAAAGAGAGCAGGAAACCCCTAGATTCTGAAGATGTATGAGCTAGATACACGCTTTTGGGGGTGACTCACCATTGAGTCAAAAAACGTGTACATACTGGCCGTAACGAAAGGAAGCCCAGCAGCAGCTCCCTTCAGCAGCACGTACACTACAGTCAGAAAAAGACTACCAAATACTCGTAGAATAATTGACTTTGTTTTTTCAGGCCAGTGGTCGCTAACCACTGTGGTCCATGGGCCAACTGTGGCTTTTATGAGCTTAGGATTGTCTTTTGTATTTGCATTTTTTAAAGCTTGGAAAAAACGTATTATTTTGTAATACATGAAAATTAGACAATTTGAATTTCAGTGAGTATTGTTAGAACTTAGCCACATCCTTTGTCTACACGTTATGGCTTTTTTGTGTGACCCAGTGACAGTAATTGGTAATGCAGTCCCACAAAGCCAAAAATACTTACTATGTGGATCTCTATAGAATAAAAAGAAAATATTCTTGAATGTTATTTCCAAAGAGAAAGAGAGTCATTTAATCATTTCATATTTCCTGAGGCCCCTCAATGCCTTTACAGTGCCCTGTTGCACATGAAGTGTGACAACTCCCCTGGCCCCCACCCCAAAAGCCATGATGGTGGCTACAGCATCAGCCTGATGGCAATTACTGGTATCGATTAAGAAACAAAAAGATTATGAACGTGAGTGAACCTGGTACTAATATAGAATGAGTGAAAACAAGAAAATGTGTTTTGTAGCCAGGAATGGTGGTGCATGCTTATCATCTAGCACTCGGGAGGCTGAGGCAAGAGGGTCTTTGCAAGTTGGAGACCAGCCTAGGTTACAAAGTGAGCTCAAGGCCAGCCTGAACTGCATAGCAACACTGACTCAAAAAAGACAAAAAACAAAATAAAAAACGGAAAAAGAAAATGTGTTTTGTCACATAACTACACTAAAAATATGTAACTGTAATGCCCAAATACTGTATTTTTAAGTAAGTATATTTTTATTTCATGCTATTCTTTTTAATAGGTAATGGGTTATCTTGTTGGTGGAGATGTCAAGTCTCTTCCACATATATGTGGTTATTTTGATGAAGAGATGGCTGGGAAATGTATTTGTGAAGTAGCGCTGGCTCTAGACTACCTTCATACACGCAATCATCCACAGGTAAAGACTCACTTTTCTCAAAACTATTACTTACCTGTAGAAATAATCACACTATGTATTAAATGTTTGGATATCAAATATTTACTGTAACCATTTGCCCATATTCCCAGATGAAAGTTTAATAGTAACTTGTGTGAGTATAGAAAGTCCCTTAACTCCTGTTTTGCCTCCCACATTGCTTTGAACATGAACATAATATTTCAGTGTGAAGACTTCAGTCCTTTTCTACTCTTCTGCCCTCATACAAAAGCGCCATACTGTGGAGTCCGAGCTGATTTACACTGCTTGGTTCTGTGCAAAGATAGGTTTGTTAAAGCTTAATCTTATGTTAACAGAAAAGAAATAAACACAATTTTGAACTGACTTGTGGATTGTTTTATTTAATGTGATTTATTTGTTTTAATAGAAAAATCTAACAGTGTCACAAATCATCTTAAATCATTTAACATTTTGTGGAGTCAGATGTACCAAAGAGCTGCTTTTGAAAGTTGTCTTGTTGGGCCAGGAATTTAGCTCAGCAGCCTACACACCTGCATGGCAAGTGTGAGGTCATGAGTTTGATCCCTGGTACCAAAAGAAAGAAAGAAAGAAAGAAAGTTCTCCTGTTCTTTGCAACCCCACCAATAAAAGCATTTATTTTAGAGGAAATAAACAGAATTTGCCTCTTCTGTGACTTTTTTTCCTTAGATATTTTAACATTGAACCTGGATTTTCACTGGGTGCAGTGGTGCATGCTGTCATCCAAGCACTCAAGAGGCTGAGGCAGGAGGATTGTTGTGAGTTCAAGGCCAGCCAGGCAACATAGTAAGCTCTAGGCCAGCCTGAACTACATAGCAAGAGCCTGCTACAGAAAAACAAAAACAAAAACACCCCAAAAAGTTAAAAAATAAAACTAGTCTTTTCTTTAGTTACCTAGTCACCTTTTGTTTTCCATGCAGGGATTTGTAACCAGACAATATGCTGATTTCTAATAAGGATTATATTAAACTGACAGATTTTGGTCTTTCCAAAGTGACTTTGAATAAAGGTGAGAAAAATAGTGAATATGCACCTTTTTAATGATCCTGCAACAACAAACAGCAGCAAAAATTCCTAAAACGTTAGAGGCTACATTGTTTTCTTCGTATATACTAAATGAAATTCTATATTTATTTATGGACTATATATATACAATTGTGTCATTTTCCCAAACCTGAAAAGGCCATTTCTCTGCAACAGTTTCTTAACATTCCTTTTGAGGCAACTGCTTAGTGCAAGGTGAGGAGGAGGGCAGGGTGACTGTGACTGGCCTGCCTGTCATCTGCTGCTCTCTTCCTGCTATTCCTAACCTCATGGGGGGAACTCAAAGACCTGCTGGAAAACACTGAAGACTCAGTGTGGGGGTTTTGGTCCCGCTATGCAGTTCAGGGTGGCCTACAACTCACTTTGTAGCCTAGGCTGGCCTCAAACTCCCAACCATCTTTCTGCTTCAGCCTCCAAGTGCTGGGCTAACACGCATGCACCAGCATGCCCACAAGATCTTTTCGGGCAAATATTTGCAGGTTCATTAATTAGTCTTCCAAGAACACCGGGCTGGCACAGCTGAGCATATGACTGTGAATCGGTCACTGATATCAGACCCCAGAGAGAGAGAAAGGCTCCTTGGACCCAAGGACCATAAAGTCAGGTCACAGAGATGGGCAAGGAGCCCATGACCCGGGAGAAGGCTGAGGTACCCGAGAGCTTTGAAGACAGCCGAGTTCAAGCCGGGCCCTGCCACGTGCTGTGTGACCTCTCCATGCTGCCATACTTGGCATGATGGTAACAGAACTTAGCGCTGTGGCAAGCACTGCATTACGATAGGTCAAGTGTGTCCCACAGTGCCTGGCACCCAGGAAGTGACCCCGAGCAGCTGCTGCCATTACAGGAGAAGGTTCCCAGTGGGGTGTTTGTGAAGCTCGGGGTGCACAATGGGAAAGCCGGATGGGGCGATTTGTCAGGTGGCTCTTGAGATGTGAGAGACATTTCTTCATGAAGAAGCAGGTTAGTGGTATTCAAGACAGACAAAATAGTAAATAATACGTACGACAGTGACTGAAGATGCTGTCATAAACCAGGCATAGTGTCACATGCCTGTGGTCCCAGCTACAGGGGAGGCTGAGGCAGGGGGATCACTAGAATCTGGGGCTTTGAAACCAGCCTGGGCCTGTTTCAAGAAACAAACAGAACCTATGCAGTCATCTACTTCTGTTCCACAGGTAAAATGACCAGTATTAAAGAACAGGCATTGAAGCCAGATATGGTGGCACCACCTGTAATTCTTGCACTGGGGAAGGCTGAAGCAGGAGGATCACAAGTTTGAGCCTTGCCTGGGCTACTTAAGAGATCCTGTCGCAAAAACATTCTTTGAAGGACTGCTGATATACTCAGTGTGAAGACTTTGGATTCAATCCCCAGTACAACAAAAGTCCAAAACAGAACTAAACCCTTAGCATTGGACTTGGACTAAGTCAACTGTGATGGGGTCTGTTCCCAAGTCAAAAGAAGAAACTGTTGAAAAAATAGTCCCACTTTTAGGGTCTCCTGATGCAGCTTCTTTGTAGTGCTTCGGAGCTTGTTTCTATTTGCAGTGGGGTCAAAAAACCAAACCAAAACAACAGAGGCCAGGCATGGTAGATCATACTTCTAATGCCAGTACTAGAGAAGCTGGGGCAGGAAATGGCGAGTTCAAGACCACCCTGGGCAATTTAGCAAGAACCTGTCTCAAAAAAAAAAAAAAAAAAAGTAGAAACTTGTATTTGTTCTTGCTGTGACTGTAGAAAACTAGTATGTGCTGTGATAGGGACAGAGTGAAGAGAGGGAATGAGAATTGTTCACTACTGTGTGTAAGGTTGGCCTGGATTCTAGTGATCCTCCTGCCTCAGCCTCAGCCAGGACTGCAGGCACACACCGCTGCACCTAACTTGTCATATTTTCTGTATTTCACTTCTTGTGATTTGAAGCCTACACAGACTTCAGCTCACATCTTGCACTGCTAAGGAGTCTGTAGCTTCTGTGACAGAGGCAGGTGTGGGACGCCATTGATCGTGGGGTTCTGATCAGTCACGTGCGCTGCACACAGGGCTCTGCAGGAAGCATTTGAATCCTGGCTCCTCTGGCTCAGGCACCCAACGGGCTCCTCCTCCGGCTCCTGTGCGGTGCAGCCCGGTCTCCTCCTGCAGCTGGAGCCCTGCGGGCAGAACATTGCTACCTGAGGACAGGGACTCTGGGGACCTCAGTGACTCCTGGTTGCCCTAGTACAGCATCTGTTAGGGGCGCTGGCCTTGACGCTGGCCAGAGGTTGCTGCTCAGCTGTCTCCCGCTTTCTGTGGGACTCAGGTCCCCTGATCAGCCTGTGTGGGGCACCGCTGGCACCTGCCTCTCGGAGTGCTGAGGGGTCCAAGGAGGCCGCTGGCTTGCACACCCCACTGGTAGGAAGCAGGCAGAAAAGCTGGCTGCTGGCAGGGAGGCAGGGTTCCTGCAGCAGGAGGCGCTGTGGCTGGAAAGCCTGGGGCAGGGAGGCCTGAGCAGCTGGCCCCTTGGAGCAGGCTGGCCTGCAGCCCCTGAGCCATGTGTTCTGCCCGCAGGGCTCCAGCTGCAGGAGGAGACCGGGCTGCACCGCACAGGAGCCGAAGGAGGAGCCCGTTGGGTGCCTTTTTAAAAAAAAAAAAAGATCTGCCCTCCCAGGAGTGTTCATTCTGAGCACAGGAAGCTATCAGGCTGGGCTGCGCCCTCCCCTGTGAAAGCTTAAGGCCACCTCCCCAGCGCCCTCTGTACCTCGGGCAGTGGTCCCGCAGCTCCTTCACGTGACTGTCAAAGTAGGTCCACTCGCTGCAGTGGAGCTGGCTCAGCTCCTCCAGGTTCCTCCTGCGCTTCTTCATGTTGCTCAGGACCAGGCTGATGATGTCGGCGTAGGTCGGAGTGGTCTCAGTGGTTCTCAAGGTCAAGGAGAAGCCAGGCTTGGGGCTGTGTGGACCCTGCCTTATTAGCAGCCTGAGCCTAGCGCAGGGCCTGGGGGTGCAAGGGCAGCGGGGGAAGCGCCTGTCTTTCTGGGCTTCTAGGGATGAGTCCTGCATTCTGAGCAGGCCACAGCCCCATGGCCTGCTTGGGCAGGACGAAGCTGTGGTCTCCTTGCCTGAATACGGCCCTCCCGCTGTGCCCCTGCTGATGGGAGGGGACTGGAAGGCGCCATGGCCCTGTGCCTGGACCTCCAGCTGCAGTGTCACACAGGGGAGCAGGACAGGCCCGGCTCTCCTCCGCTTCACAAGCTCCATCCCAAGCCTGCGTGTTGAAGTCTCCCTCCTGCTCTCTGTCTCTGTCTGTCTGTGGCACCCTGCCTCCACTCCTCCCCCAGGGTGAGAATCACCAGCTAGGGGCCTTCCTGTCATCCTCTGTCTCCAGGTCCTTATCTATAAAACAGGGACACATTTGGCAGGCTGGTGTGTGCCTGTGATCCCAGCACTGCGGAGGCTGAGCAGGAGGGTCATTGAGCCTAGGACCAGCCTAGGCTACATAGTGAGTCTAGCCTCAACTACAAAGGGAGACCCTGCTTCAGAAAACAAACAAACAGGGCCGGGGATACAGCTCAGGGGCACAAGCGCCTACTGGCAAGGACAAGGCCCTGAGTTCAATTCCTGGTACCAAAAACAAATCCAGGAAATTAAAAAAAGAACCAAACCAACAAGGCTATGGGATGAGCGTGGTCCTCTCCCTCCGGGTTATCAGCACATCCTGGCCGCTCTGGCACAGCCTGGAGTAGTTCTGCAGGAAGTGCACGACCAGAGGGCTGTGCCCGTGAATGTTGAAGAGGTGTGAGGTCAGCGGAGGGCTTCTGCAGGCCGGGTGAGACTGGAGGAAAGAGAGGAAAGAGAGTGGGACCAGCGTGTGTTAGGGACTCACAGGTGGGGGGGATTCAGCTCAGCAGCGTGAGCTTGTCTGGCAAGCGCAAGGTCGTGAGTCTGATCCCTGGTACCGAAAAAAAAAAAAAACCCTCAGAGGTGCCCATGTCTTCTGTCCATTAAGTCCTGTTTTAAGCACACACTCTAAAGAAATGATCAAAATAAAGGAAAATTTTAGATGTTTACTACAGGGTGTTTATTAAATGCAGGAAAAGATTTTGAATAAGCTAACATCCAAGGAAAAGATACTGATCCCTTTACCCAAAGGAACAGGAGACCACGATTGCGATATTCACAAGGATGGGCAGGTGGCTCACAGTCAGCGCTTTGCTGGCATGTGTGAGGTCCTGGGTTCGATCTTCAGTACAGAAAAAAAGTGTATGAAGCATTATTAGCATTTTTAAAAAGTTTCAGATAAAAATTGAGATGCCAGTGGTGCACACCTGTAATCCCAGCACTCAGGAGGCTGTGAGGGAGGATTGCCATGGAATTCCATGCTAGCCTGGGCTACAGAGTGAGTGCAAAGTCATCCTGAACTGCCTACTGAGATCCTGTCTCAAAAGGACCAAAAAGAAATTGAGATGCCAAACTGAATAGATTATATATTTGTAATGGTGGCACATGCCTGTAATCCAGGTACTTGGGAGGCTGAGACATGAGGATTGCCACAAATTTAAGGCCAGCATGGACTACAGAGTGAGTCCAAGGCCAGCCTGGACTACAAAGCTAGAGCTTGTCTCAGAAAAACAAAAACCAAAAAACCATATATAGATTTATTTAAATACAAGTATATGAAATAAACCAGTAAATAGACAAGATTGACAGGAGCCTGGAGAGATATTTACTACAGTGTTAACAATTCCCATAGCAAATATTTGCTGAGCGATTATTATGCGTACACATCATTTCAAGCACTGGGGATTCAGGAAGAACAAGGAAAGCAAGAAGCAGATGAACAGATGCAGAATAATGAGGCGCTGTGTGATAACAAGCAGCAAAGTGGGCACGAGATGATGGGCGGAAGAGAGGAGAGGACGGTGTGGAGGGTGGGGAAGGCCGCCTTGCCTTTCAAGGTGACAGCCCAGCAGGTGGGCGAGCCATGGGAGCACTGGACAGAGGGGAAAACAGGTGCAGAAGGTCCTGTGGCAGACATGAGCTCATTGTGGCTCCAGGGACAAAAAGCAAGAACCGCGTGGCTCAGACGGAGCCTGAGAAGCGGGAAGAAAGGCTGAGCTGAGGGGGTGGCTGTGGAGTTAGGATTTTTTTTAAAGAGTGATGGGATCTCCTGGAGAGTTCTAGCAGGGCACCCTCACACGATCTGCTTAACTTCTCGCCGAGGTCTGGGGGGCGGCGTGTGGAGGGGTGACTGTCACCTGGAACTGCTGGGCCTGATCACTCATCTCCTCTGTGCCTACACCAAACCCACCAGCCTTGAGACAGCTCAGAACCAGAATATCGCTGGGCTGCTTTTTCCCCATTTTCTAGAAAGTCAGAAAAGTTAATCGGTACAAGCAGCAGCGCTGGTGAGAAGCAGCTTCAGGATTTGAACCCATGTCTATCCACCATGACCTGCCCCTTCTCAGAAGTTCCCCGCTGAATTCTGAGGAGAAATGGGCAGTGGTAATTGGCGTGCAGAAATGGAGAAGGTTCCAACACTACAGTCCTTGGTATGTGGCCCCAATCCTCCATTAGTTGGTGCTTGCAGACCCCACAACTTTTCGGCATCCTATCCAAGGCGGGAGGTGCCACCGGCAGAAGTGACCACGTGGCGAGTCAGAAAGAGATGAGGGGCTGGGGAGAAGAGCAGACGCCGTCACCTCGCACCTCTCACATGCTGCTGGCGACGCTCTGTGGTTAAGAGCTCAGGGTCAGAGCCAGCCAGGTCTGCATGCAGGCCGTGGCTTAATCCTCGATATATGGGCTTGGCTCAGGTACCTCCTCTGAGCACCCATTTCGTCACCAACAAACCCGAGAACTGTAGTAGTAACTACAGCCAACTGCGGTGGCAAACCGCTGCTTGCCTAAGGTCTAACGGTGCGTGATGTATAACCGAACGGTCGTGGAGTGTGAATGACTGCCGTTACCTCAGGTAAACCCCCTAACGACATCATGAGCAGGCATGATAGACAGTCAGTGCACACTCCTTTCCATTGTGTGTGGGCCCCTGGGTTTCTTTTTTTTATTATTATTTATTTAAAGAAAGACAAAACAGAATAGAAAACAGGCAGAAATAGTACATACTTTCAAAGGATAGAAATAGTAATAAATCACTAGCTGATATATACGTATTGTCCCCCTATAAATTGTTATTCAAGGTACACAAGTGGAACATATAAATGGGATTTCAACCAGGGAGACTGCAAACAGTTCTGTTCAACTATCCAACAAAAACTAAGTATTATGGCTATCGATCCTATACACTTAGACATGTACATGTTTATCCATATCTTCATTTATGTTGAGACCTAACATAGTTTATTAGATTAAAATCCTTCTGAATAAAGATTAATAATATTGCTGGATTTCACATCATAACACTCCGGAATCAGCACTGGGTACTGCAGTGCCCCTTTCTTTCCTTCAAAGTTTTGTTCATTTTGATATCACAGAGTTTTATTGGATCAATGAACAGAACTGTTTGCAGTATCGTTGATGGAATGTCCACTTTACAAGCTTTAATTTTGTGACTTGAACAATTATTTCTAAGATGACAATATGTAATCCATTAACTAGTGATTTCCTACTGTTCATTTTTTTTCTGTAAATCTGTATAACTTGTACCCTTTCCCTGCTTTTTTTTTCTTTTCTTCTTAAATAAAATTAAAAAAAAAAGTTTTGTTCATTTCATCATGTGTCATCAGATCAGTGCTCATAAACTGTTTAAGTAAGCATGCGTCTTAACATGTATTTCTATCCTTTCTATATTAGAGGGAGAAACAGAACAAAGCAGGACAGAACTAAACTTTTTCCTATAGATATATAAAACTAAAAAGACATGGTCACTGTGCTGTTTCTTGTTATCATCAACAGAATTGGCTATATCATCAGATAAAGTATAATTAAGCATATCAGTACATAACAATTAATAGAAATACAACTTTGTAGATAGTGTAGAGCTACAAAGACAGGTAGTAATCAAATCAGAATGGATATCATGGTGAATCACTGTCATTTTCAGTATGGTTGTCTGTACTCCTCAACTTGTTAACCATCAACCTTACAGTTTTGAATAAAATCTGTCAATAATAAGCAGCAATCAAACAAGTCAGATTTAACTAAGATCAGTCATGATACAACAGTATAAGTTATACATGGATGCTGATTGAGTTAATAGGGAATTAAAGATGTCCCCTATGCTATGGAGGGCCGTCCGTGCCCCTCAGATCCAATGCTTGTATACAAACTAGGACAGAACGAGTTCCAGTCAAGCAGAGTGGTGCGAGTAATAGGGGTTTTAATTCCTGATACACTATTAGCTATATCTTCTGCTGGTTTTTTTTTTTTTTTTTTTTTTTTTTTTTGAGGACTATTCCTCCCTTTTACTCCGCCAGAATGAACTGTGTATTTTTGGGTCTCCCCAACACTCACGATTTTGTATGGGGGGGGCAACCTGCTATTTACCTAAGTGTTTCTGAACTTTCTCACTCATTTATTAAAGCATGTCTGTTCAACCTATCCATAAATACTGGTCTAGTTACCCCTATTACTCTCTGGTTCCCTATCACATCGAGTTCCATTTTCTCATGTTTGATTTTGGTCCATATAATCTTCTTCAGGCTAATTATATTTCCTATAAAGAGCCTCTCGGTGGACCCTATCTCTTGATCCACTCTGCCTATTTTTCTCTATTTTTTCCCTTAAGTTAGTATATCTAGGCCATCTATATTAGAAATTATATCCAACCTTCTCTGCCTCATTTCTGTTGAGCTCTTTTTCTGTCATCAGTTGTCAGTTTGTCCTCTTCATTTTGCTTTCTGCTCCATTCATTGTGGCCTCTCTGCCACTGTTTCTGGAATCTTGGTATTTTTCTCTTTTAGAATATCCTGCAGTATTCTCTGTAGAGTTGAATTGATGGTTGCAAATTCCCCTAGTTCCTCTTTATCCTGGAAGCACATTGTTCTTCCATCAATTTCTAGGGACAGTTGTGCAGGATATATCAATCTTGGCTGGAGGTTATTGTCTTTCAAAGATTGAATTATTTTGCCCCATGCTTTTTGTGATTTAATGGTTGGTGCCAAGAAGTCTGCTGTAATTCTGATGGGCGTTCCCTTGTAAGTAATCTGTTTCTTGTCTCTGACAGTTTTTAATATTCTGTTCATATATTGGATTTCTGGAATTTTGATTATTATATGCCTGGGTGTAGTTCTGTTTGGGTTATAGGTGGCTGGGGTCCTGTATGCCTCATACATCTGAGTATCTTTACATTTTCCTATATTAGGGAAATTCTCCTTGATTATTTCTATGAGTAGCCTTTGCAGTTCATTTGTTTGTATCCCTGCTTCTTCCTTTACGTTCTTAATTCTTACGTTATAGATCCTCTTATCATCTTCTAGCCTTAGTATTGTTACTGCTTGTTTCCTTGTTATTTTTAAGAAGTTTTTCATTTCATGCTCCCACGTTACAAATCTGTCCTCCAGTTCAGATAATCTATCCTTAGTTTCTTTCAAGTTGTTATGCCAGCTTTCAATAGAATTTTTAGTTTCCTGGTAATCTCTTTGAACCTGCTTCATGTATTCTATGTTTTCTCTGTTTTCTCCATCAAACAATTCTCTCCTTTTTTTCTGTTCTTCCATTCCACCATCTGTTTTTTTCTTGGGCGGTGCTTAGCATTTCTCTACCTATTCTACTTATATCTTGCTTTACTTGGTTACATACTTCACTTTTGAACTCGTCTATGAGGTCCTGGAGATATCACTTTATGTCTATTGGTGCCATGTCGGATATTGCATGTTTTCTGTCCTCATTCTCCTTTGCATTTACCTTTCCTAGATCAATGTTCTCAGGATTGGGGACCGAGGACCCTTTCTTGTTGCCTCATCTTCTCATATTTTTTGTTCCTTCCATACAGGCGTATATAGGAGGCCCAGTTTCTTTCTTTGTCGGTTACAGTTTGTCTGAATCATGCTGGCTAGGTGTTCCCACCCACTGCAGTGTATTAGGGAGACACAGACCGAGGCAACTTATGCTGGGCCCACCCCTCCAGGTCAGTCAAGCTGCTGAAGGCTTCACTGCATTAGGGTGCACTGCCAGGCACAGGGACCTCGTTTAGGTTAGCCTACTGGGTCTTAGTTTGCGGCGTCACCCAGGTCAAGCACTCTCCACCAATCCCACTTGAGAGTTCTGGCTAGTCTGCCCAGTCCCAGAATGTTTTCTGTTGAAGCCTCCTAGTCTATGGAAGGGTCCCCATTCCTCTCACTCACCACAGGTTGATGCAGGCCTCCCCACCAGCTCTGCTCTCAATTCGGTTCGCCAATTCCCGCTCTCAGAGCTTTTGCGTCTCTGTCCCTGCTGTGCTGATTGAGATGCAGCAGTGGCAGCAGGAAATTCAAGCCACGGTTTCCAGAGGCACGGGTTCCAGCTTCGGTGCTGAGATTTTATCTGATCCAGTCATAACACCGGGATTGCATTTCCAGTTGGTTTCTCTCAGCTTAGTTCGCTCCTAGGTCAGCAGGGTATATCTCCCCCTGCTTAGGACTCCTCACACCACACCATTCCTGGAATCTAAGCTGGCTTTCTCAGAGAGCCTGTGTAGCTGCTGTTATCTATCTACCATGCTCGGTGGAGGCTGCCGGGCCTTTGGGTTTCTAACACTTAACTTGATACTGGAGAATACCAGACAAAATGCTCTCAGTGTGTGTCTACCTCACCCAGAAGTTATTCTCAGGAGACTTTGTGAGCATCACCTGGGTTTCCAGTCAGAAGGACCCCAGTCCTTACCCTGACTTCTTCAGAAAGTTAGGTGGTTTTTTGTTTGTTTGTTTTGGGGATTTTTTGGGGGGGTGTTGTTTTTTTTCTGAGACAGGGTCTCATTCTATACTCCAGGCTGGCTTTGAACTCACTATATAGCCCAGGCTGGCCTTGAACTTGTGGCAACCCTCCTGCCTCAGCCTCCTGAGTGCTGAGATTACAGGTGTGCACCACCACACCTGGCTAGAGAGATAGGCTTTTAAATCATCTCTGTCGCGACTTCCGGGAGAACATGGCGGACAGATAACAGCAACTACCGGAGGCTCTCTGAAAAACTAGGCTCAGAAGCCAGGTATGGTGCGGACTAAAGAGACATAAGCAGGTGGAGTTATGCTCTGCTGACTCAGGAACGACCTCGGCTGAGAGAAACCAACTTGGAATGCAGTCCTGGTGCTAAAACGGGAACAGAAAAGTCTCGCTGCTGAGGCTGGACCCTGCGCCATTGGAAGCCGTGATTTGGGTTTCCCGCCGCCCGGCGGCTGGCTGCCTCTACATCAGCTCGGCAAGGAGAGAGACGCGCGGAAGCTCTGAGAACGGGAGTCTGCGAACGGAGTCGAAAACAGGACGGGCAGGGAGGCATGTTCTGACTTGTGGCGAGGTGAGTGACAGAAACTGACACTCCACCACAGTTTGACTCCAACGGACTTTCTGGGCCAGAGCAGTCCTGCGGGAGCAGGGCGCGCTGGCGACTCCAGCCACACATTCCCCTCTCGGGCGGGATTGGTGAAAAGTGCCTGGCCTACGTGACGCCGCTGCCAGCGGCCCCTTAGGCTGGCCCAAACCAGATCCCAGAGCCTGACGGAGGCCGGGAGGGGCGGGCCCCCGCGTAGGCTGCCTGGTGCACAGCGGTGAGTGGGAACACCTAACCGGCGCAATTCGATCAGGCTGTGGCTGACAGGGAGAGAAGCTGGGCCTCTCATATAAGCTTGCATATATAAGGAACAGAGAATATGGGAAGAGGCAGCAACAAGAAAGGCTCCTCGGCCCCCAATTCTGAGAAACAGGCAATAGTAGACACCGCACCAATACACATAAAGCACCATATAGAGAGCCTCATAGACCAATTCAGGAATGAAGTTATCAACGACCTGAAGCTAGAAGTATGCAAAATAGTTAGGGAAATGCTAAGCCCCACCCAAGAAAAAACAGATGGTGGAATGGAAGAACAGAAAAAGAGGGGAGAATTGTTTGATGGAGAAAACAGGGAAAGCATAGAATACGTGAAGCAGGTTCAAAGGGACTACCAAGAAACTAAGAAGTCTATCGAAGACTGGCATAACAGCTTGAAAGAAACTAAGGACAGACTATCTGAACTGGAGGGCAGAATTGTAATATGGGAGAATGAAATGAAAAACTTCTTAAAAATAACAAAGAAACAAACAGCAATAATACAAAGACAAGAAGATGATAAGAGGATCCATAACTTAAGGATTAAGAACATAAAAGAAGAAGTAGGGACACAAACAAATGAACTACAAAAGCTACTCACAGAAATAATCCAGGAGAATTTTCCTAATTTAGCAAAAGGTAAAGATACTCAGATGTATGAGGCATACAGGACCCCAGCTACCTACAACCCAAACAGAGCAACACCCAGGCATATAATAATAAAAATTCCAGAAATTCAATACAAGAACAGAATATTAAAAGCTGTCAGAGACAAGAAACAGACCACTTACAAGGGAGCACCCATCAGAATTACAGCAGATTTCTCTGCACAAACCATCAAATCACGAAGAGCGTGGGGGGAAATAATTCAAGCTTTGAAAGATAATAATCTCCAGCCAAGATTGAGATATCCTGCACAACTGTCCCTGGAAATTGATGGAAAAACGAGGTGCTTCCAGGATAAAGAGGAACTGGGGGAATTTGCCACCACCAATTCAACTCTACAGAGAGTATTGCAGGATATTCTAAAAAAAGAAAAATACAAAGAATCCAGAAATAGTGGAGGCCACAACTAATGGAGCAGAGAACAAAGTGAAGAAGACAAACTGACAGCTACTGACAGAATAAGAGCTCAACAGAAATGAGGCAGAGAAGATTGGATGATAGGAACAGCTATTTTGGAGAAAATGACATCTTAATAGGTAATACTGATTTAGTATCATCTTGTTTTGAAGTCTCATCTAGCTTTTGTCCTTCTGTCTCCAATGGTCTAAATAGGTTGTATCTTACTGAATTTTATTATGTACGACAGTATAAGCAAAAACCTTTTAAAGACAAGGAGATTATACAGAAACCATTATTCATTTTCTGTTAGTCGACTCTAAATACTCTGTAATGCTGTCATTCTCTTAAATGGTTTTACATTGTTTTGATATACTTAATGCTACAGTATACGAAGTTGTACTCAAGGATTTCAAGGAAAGAGACAATATGGTAACTACTTTTAGGTCAGGATTATCTGGTGGTGAAACACTGTTCTGCTTAAATGGTTATGTTTTGATCTGTGCTGTTTCGTTGTTATGCCCTCTTTTATCTCAATCTCCACTCCATTATTTACTGTTTTAATACTTTTTTTATTTTTATCCTTTTAATTAAAGAAAAAAAAATAACAGGATATGTTATAGTAACCCACTTTGACTTTCCATTACCTCAATTTAAAGCCCTGTATTACTCTCACCATCTGGTTTTTAACTGATGTTCCCCTATTCTGTTTTGCTGGATAGTATCAGGTTCGAAAATTTAGGCATCAGCTGTGAAGATAATGAGATTCATTATAACGCCCATTCTCGTTGACTTTTATCTACTTTTGAAGACCTACAATGTCTCCAATGGTTTGGTTTTGTCGGTTTTGTTCTTTACTGTTTTGTTCAATTGTATTATAACTAATGGTATAGGCAATTCTATTAGAGATAGCGGGAGGCATTATGGTAACCATTGTTGATCACCTTGTATTATGTTTTCACATTATCTATTATGTCCACCCTTTTGACTTGACCGATTCTGTTCTGTTATGTCACATTTGGTTTTACTCTCTTCCAAAAAAGTAATAAGAACCGTGAGAACAATGAAACCCAAAATGTGTAATAGTCATTGTACAAAAGAGAGGAAAAGAAAGTGCTCTAAATTATATAACTGCATGTATGTTTAAGTGTATAAGATAGAATATGATATCACAGAGTTTTATTGGATCATTGAACAGAACTGTTTGCAGTATCATTGATGGAATGTCCACTTTACAAGCTTTAATTTTGTGACTTGAACAATTATTTCTAAGATGACAATATGTAATCCATTAACTAGTAATTTCCTACTGTTCATTTTTTTTCTGCAAATCTGTATAACTTGTACCCTTTCTCTGCTTTTTTTTTCTTTTCTCCTTAAATAAAATAAAAAAAAAAATCATCTCTGTCATTGAATTTCCAGGTATGTGCTCACCTGTTTAAAAAACTTTTCATAGTCTCTCGCTTCTGATATCATCTTGACTTGCTTTGTAGCTTTCCTCAAAACCAGGATCTCACGATGATGATGGTCTGTCACAATGATATAGCAACAAAAAAATAACAACAACAAAAAGAATCCTTGGAGCTTGCTAGCCCTAAAAGGTCACATGGCAGATCTGTCTCCTAGAACCTAGAAGGCATTCCTAAAGTACATGGGTACAGTCATATCATTCTAAGACACTAGAAGATGTAGCTATGATAAATTCAAACATACCCCAATATACACCAGATATATACCTGCAAACCACGTCTGTCCATTTAGTGATCCTTCATCCATCCCACCAGTATTTTCTGAACATCTACTATGTATCAGGCCCTTACTTGGTGCTAGAAAGAGACTGTCTTCAAGGACCTCACCGTTTAACAGGGTAAAGGGACATAACTGTAGTGCTCAGAGGCCATAATGCCGTGGTCTCTAGGATACACTGACAGTCCCAGAAAAAGGCAGGAGAACCCGGAAGTCTTTAAAAATACTAACAGCAACAGGAGGGTAGTGGTGGCTAAGAGAGGAAAAAGTACTACTGTCACACAAAAATATGGTCTTAACAGAGAAAATCTTAAAGACTAGAGAGACTAATCGTCCATAAGTAGATCATTAGGACAGCAGCAGAGTTCTCACTGGGAACAGTGGAACCAGATCACCCCAGCATGGATTGACAATAACTGTTAACCTAGACTACATACCCAGCAAAACCATCCTTCAAGAATAAAAATGAAATAAAGGCATTTGTCCAGAAAGAAGGAAAAAGATCCCATAAGATGGTCTGAACTTCAACGGGATAACAAATAAAATGGCAGTTTATTTATTTATTTATTTACTTATTTTTTGTCTTTTTGAGTCAGGGTCTCGCTATGCAGTTCAGGCTGGGCTTGAGCTCACTTTGTAGCCCAGGCTGGTCTCGAACTTGCAATGATCCTCCTGCCTCAGTCTCCCGAGTGCTGGGATCACAGGTGTGAGTCACCACGCCTGGCCAAAATGGCAATTTAAAACCAAACAAAACTGCCTATAACAATAATAGCAACAGTATCATCTAATTGGTGGGTTTTAACATAGGACAGAATTAAAACCAATGGACAAAAAATATCATTAAATCTGAGGGAGGCTTGGAGCTAAACTGGTCTGCCGTCTTTGTTTTGTTCAGGAAGGCAGAGGATTTAAATATTTAGCTTTAGATAAATGCATATGACAAAGCAGGGTTTCTTAGCCTTGGCACCGACGCTGGAGGCAGATGGCCGTGTCGTGGGCACTGTTTTGTGCAGTGGAGGACATTTAGCTGTACCCTTGACTTCTACCCTTTAAATCCCAGTAGAACTTCCCTGGAGTAGTGGCAGCTAAAAATATAGACAAAACATGTACTTTCTCCCCAAGTAGAGAAACTAGAACAGAGTCACAAAAACAGAACCAGTGGAACCATCTGGGTTCTGGCTCAGCCTAGTTTCCCACTGAATGCAGCTAAGACCCCTGGACAGAAACCAGGGAGCAGCTCTCCGAGGACTCTAGACAATACAGAGTAGCAGGTGAGCTGGCTAATGACATGTGGGCTGCACGTTCCCTTTGTCCCTGCACTCTTATTACAAGAAATAGGGGACTGACACTGGGTGTGGCAGCACACACTTGTAATCCCAGCACTTAGAAGGCTGAGGCAGGAGGATTGCTGTGAGTTCGAGGCCAGCTTGGACTACATAGTGAAACCCTGTCTCAAAAAAAAAAAAAAATGGGCGACACCAGGGTGTCTCCCAGGGTGACAGTGACCCTCTTCCCCCCGGGGCAAAATCCCTTAAACCTGAAGAAAAAGTCTCAGAAATTATCAAACTCATGATGCAGTGGAAACCAACCAGAGCCAGCCCCCCGCAGCGACACCGTGAAAAGTGGGGCTCGGCTTTGTGAACAGGCCAGTCGGCTGCTCCCCGCCGGCACGGTGGCCCTCAGCTTTGCTTGTGCTCAGCAGTCCCTGCCCATTCTCTCCTCCTCCTCCCCCTCCCTCAGAGGTCTCCCTGCACACTCGTGCAGCAAGGTCCCACTCTCGCCCTGTGTCACGTTCACTGTGGAAATGCCAAGAGCTTTAGAAAAGAGCTCTGTGCCAGGAACTGGGACAAAGGGCAAATCGACTTTATTACGAAAGCATGCAACCTGAAAAATGCGCACGGAGAGAGACAGAGAACCCCACGGAGCGTTAAAGACCTTGGGACAGTGTCAAAAGGTCTAACAGTTGTGTCCTCAAAGCCCTAAGAGGAAGGTAGGAAAGTGGCCCCCAATCTGTTTTTAAATGGTTGAAAACTCAAATTTGGAAGGAGACATGAAATTACAGGTTTAAGATGCTCAGCAAACTGCAGACAAGTTAAAGAAATGTGTGCCACACACTTCATCATCAGGCGGCTGGAAGGCAGGCCAAAAGCGGAGTGCAGCCAGAGAGAAGGGAATTATGCAGAAAGGGACAGCGGTTTACACCTGGGCTCCATCAGAAACCTCTGAGACGAAAGCGTTGTGAACCAAAATTTTGGAGTGAGGAGGAAAACAAACCCAAGACCTCACACATGCTAAACACAAGTTCCACCACAGAGCCAACTCCAAGGCCCAGACCAATTAATTTAGGGTATTTTTGAGACAGGGTCTCGCTATGCAGTTCAGGCTAGCCTTGAACTCACAGCAATCCTCCTGCCTCAGCCTCCAAAGTGCTGGGATTACAGGTGTGCAGCATCACATCTGGCTCAGACCATTGATTTTTAAATTTTTTTTTTCCAAATCCATTTTATTTCAAAGAGGAGGAAAAAAAGAAAAAAAATAAAGCCAGACCAATGATCTTAAATGCTGTAAGAAAGAATTGCCAATTCTTAATTATATATCCAGGAGAGAAACCCTTCAAGAATTAAGATGAAATAAAGGCATTTTCACAAGAGAGAAAACGCAGATATTCACTGCAAGCAGGCTTACTAAAGTAGTTTTCTTTTAAATTGCAAATAAGTGACTTTTTTTTTTTTTTTTTGACACAGTGCCTTCCTATGTAGTTCAGGCTGGCCCTGAAATCACTGTGTAGCCCAGGCTGGCTCAAACTCATGGCAATCTTCCTGCCTCAGCCTCCTGAGTGCTGAGATTCCAGGCCTATGCCATCATTCCCAGTTTTAATAGCTTTTTTGAAAAATAATTCTCATACTGACTTCTCTGAGCCTCTATTTCTCCTTCAAGAAGAAGATAGCTTACATCTTTAGAATGCATTGTCTACGGGCACGTGATGAGCCTGCTTCTTTCTCTAACTCTCACATACGATGCCAATGCTTGTCCTGTCCTGAGTCAACCCTGGCAAGGCTGGCCGGCCAAGGAAAGCCCTCTGCCTGCAACCTGAAGGCACACAGGCCCTAGCACGGTGTCAAGCCCATCATCACAAAAGTGGAACTATTGCTATCAAGACCAGATGCCAAGCCCAGGCTAGAACCCAGAAGTTCAGCAAATTATATTCAGGAGGCAATCCCGAGAGTCTAAGGCTCTGGAAATAATTCCCAGGGACCCCACTCAAGTGCGGCCTCAGGCAAGATGCAGCCGCTTGCTGGGGCCTTGCTGATAACTGGGCAGTTACCTCACCTCTCTGATCTCTCAGCCCACCCTGGGGGAAATACTGCCCTAGAAAGATCCACCCAAGACCCGTATGATCAACATGAGCATTGGGTTAGATTTAAGAGAAAATCTAGCAAGCTTACAGCTTCATTAAGGTGCCATTAAATGTGAAGATAGCTAACCTGGAATTCAAAAATTGAAGGCAACTATATGGTTTTTTGTTTCCCACTTTGAAAAAAAAATCCCCACATGTGCACGGTGGTCACTGGGAAAGCAAACTGGGTATAAATGGTTAGAAAATCGGCAGTGACAGTGGCAGCTGTGACAACTTCTAGGCATGGCTTCTGGGCCCTTTGGCTTAGACCAGGTCCCCTGGAACTCACGGACAACAGCTGCCCAGCTTCTCCAGCTCACCTGTGCTGGGGCGAGGCGCTGCCCTTTCAAGTGACTATCACTACACCCTCAAAGTGGGCTTTTTACCAGGCATGGTGGCGCACCCCTATAATCCCACCACTCTGGGAGGCTGAGGCAGGGGGGTCGCAAAGGCAAGCTTAACTTAGCAACTTAGTGAGACCTAATCTCAAAATAAAAAGTAAAAAGGGCCACTGGGTCTTTAGCTCAGCATGAAAGCCCTGGGTTCAGTCCCCAGCACTGAAAAAAAAATTGATCTTGGGGGAATTTGCTCCTTTCAGCCTTGGCATCTGTGACGCAGTACAGTGTGTCCTTCACCGGGCTGTCATGAGGATAAAATACAAAAGAACCTAGCATTGTTGAGAGCATTATGTGGACACCCACCGACAGAAATCTGTTTGAATAAAACCCCGCTCCCTGCCTCCCCGCCTGGGAGGGGTGGACTCCCACAGCGATTCCTAAGCGCTGACGGGTCAGTCATTTTGATGGGGCCGGTGAGACAGACCAGGCTGGCGCACCCACCCACAGCCCTCCTGCCTGCGCACGGGTGGCTGGGGGTGGCCTGGCAGAGGGGACAGAGGGGACAGGAGGCCTCCAGTGGTAGCTCACCCTTTATCGGGGGTCGTCTTTTCTGCGAGATTAGCTCTTCCACCCGGAATCTCTCGGGATCCAGCACAGAGTAGTCCCAGCTGTGGTAGCTCTGCAGGCACGGGTACATCCCTGAGAGAAGTCCAAGGCGACAGTGAGCACCTTTGCAGAGAGAGGCTGGCAGCCACCCAGGACAGCGCAGCACAGACCTCGGGCCCCCTGCTGTCCTGGGACAGTGCCAGCCCCCTCTCCCCGGCCTTGGGCGGTCACATCCTCTACAAAGGCTCAGGGTTTGTTGGTCTTGATGGGGCCATGCTGCCCTCCCTGTTTTGATGAAGGTGCCAGGGGTCAGATCACAAGGTATGTGGCAGCGACCTGCTGTGGTGGTTTTCCACCCATCTCCCCTGTGCCTGCTGGACCCGGGGTCCCCAGGGCGGGCCTCAGCCTGGCCCAGAGTAGACAGGTGCTGAGCAAGGGTTTGCTGAACCCATTGTGGCACCTTTAGTAGCGAGCCAAGAATGGCTTCTCCCTCGCCTTTGGTGGCGAGGCTTGCAAGGGTTATTCGAGAATTTTGAGCCACTGTGCAAGACCTCCATCTATGCTGGATGGGAAGGGGCAGGAGGTCCCACTGGAAAGGCAGTGGATAGGAGGATTATGGCGGGCAGTGGGCTGGGGGAAGGAGGTGCAGCCTTCAAAGAACAGGGGGACCGGAAGAAGGATCAGGAGGAGGCCCAGAGAACAGGAGGCAGGGGCTGCAGCGCTCAGAGCCCTGGCCTTGGGGTGGGCCTGGCATGACCAGGGTCTGACTCCATTTGTTTGTGGTTGGAGGATTAAACAGCTGTGCCAGGAAAAGCAGGCTTGACGCTGGGCCCGTAGAGAGGCCTGTGGGCCTGCCCTTGGGTGACATCTGGGCACTTGAGGGAGGGGGTGGTAAACAGAGCCTTAGCCTGCCTCTAACTTTCTCTGCTGCTGAGTGGGCTCCCTACAACAATCCAGGACAGACAAAGGTGTCTCCACGACGACCCCTGATGGAGACCTTGGCCACTGCATCTCTAGTGGGTCTCCTGGGCACAAACACCACACAGGAGTCTCTGTATTCACTGCGGGAGGGACAGAGAGCCAAGGGGCCACCGAGGGAGCATGTGGCTCCTCTGAGCCACCCTGTGCCCTGTGCCCTGGCCATGCACCTCGAGTTATCACCACCATGATAAACCTCAGCCACGACAGCACCTCTGTACTGAGACCTGTGGGGCCTTCTAGCAAATCGAGTATGAGGGACTCCTGGGGTCCCCCAGCAGAGCAGGAAATGTAAAAATGCTTTCTTAACACAGAATCCAGTTAGTACACAGAAACCTCACAGAAACAGCGTTTTATGACCTCAGGAGCATTTAATGACCTAGGCCAAGCTCCAGAGGAAGCCAGAGGAGGCTGAGGCCTGCTGGGTTCAGGGAGGCAGGGCAGGGAAGGGAGAGGTTATTAAACCAGCAGGCTCCCACCTCCTGCATAAACCAAGGCTCAGGGTTAGCTAACAGGGATGAGCAGAGTCTTCCCTATCTTGTTAAGAAAGGATTCTATGGGGCTGGGGATTTAGCTCAGCGGCATAAGCGCCTGCTTTGCAAGCGCATGGTCGTGAGTTTGATCCCCAGTACCAATAAGAAAAAAAAAGGAAGGACTCTGTGCTCCCTTCAGTTGGAGCCAGGCTTGCGAAGTGGACTAGGAAGGGGTGTCTCACAGCTGTTCTGAGGCAGCAGGAAAACTCATACTCTTTGGGGCAGTTTTGTTTTGTTTGCGATGGATTCTCACTATATAGTTCAGGCTGGCCTTGAACTCACTATGCAGCCCAGGCTGGTCTCAACTCCACTGGGATCCTCCTGCCTCAGCCTTGGGACTGCAGGGACCACAGGCATGCACCACCACGCCCGGCTTCCCTTGGGGCTTTAACCACACATTTTCTCTGTCTCTGTCTCTGTCTGTCTCTCTAATATCTGATTACCTTGCTGGAGGGTGTATGGTAAATAAGAACATACCTCGGCTCCAGGGGTAAATGTTTTCCCAGAATTGCTTCCCTGCGAGGAGGAGGTCGCTTCTCACCTGAGACCCACAGGCTCATGGTGTTGCAGATGTGGGATTTGAATTCGTGAGTGTTGAACCAGGAGTGTGGGAAGCAGCAGCAGAAGCTGGTGTACATAGCTTTGCTCAGCAGAGACGGCAGCCTCTGGGGACAGAGTGGATGGAGTTCAGGCCATGCTTTCTCCAGTTTTGCCCCAAGAGAAAAAATCCTGACTCCAGAAAGGATCTGTGAAAAATCTCTTTGTGAGCCGGAGCTGCCCTTTACCTGCGTCAGCCTCCCAAGTACCGGTGCCAGGCCTGTGGGCGAGCACCGCCGTGCCCTGCTGTATGCTGCTTCCTAACCCCAAGGCTGAGCTCGGGTTACGTATTGATAACTGGCTCAATCCACACCAGAACACAAGTGCTGTACAATCAAGAAATACCCCCGATAGTGATCTTTGCAATATCGTACTGTGTAGATAACATATGGAAATTTAAACATCCTCCTCCAGCAGATGTTACTGAAGGTCAAAACTCTGAGTGAATGAATACATGGATGAAGGCAGCTTCTCTTGCGTGATCTCTCTCTCTCTCTCCTTGTTTTTTTTTAAGACAGTCTTGCTATGTAGTGCAGTCTGGCCTTGAAGTCACCATGCATAGCCCAAGCTGGCTTCAGACTCATGGCAATCCTCCTGCTTCAGCCTTCTATGTGTATGTCACCAAGCTTGACTGAATATTCTGTTACAATTGCCAGAAAATAGTATGATAATAGCCATTACAGCGGCTGGGATATATTGGGAGGCTTGATGTGTACCAGGCAGGAAGTCAGATATCTTACAAATGGCATCTCATTTAATCCTCAGACCAACGCTCAAAGCACTATTGTTATCTCTATTTATAGGTGATGCAGTGAGGCCTAGATATCTTATTTAGCCCACACTAAATTAATATTGTGTCTTCCAGCGTGGGTGTGGGGGTCCACTTCCCATCCACGCTGTTTTCCTTCCTCCTTGACCACCTGGGAATTGTGCTTGCTAATCTAGGCCACCTAACAGGTAAAAGAGATAATGAATTACTAGAGTTTTAATTTGCATTTTTAAATTATTATTAAGGGTGACCCTTTTTTCCCATTTATACTTCTTCTTTAGAGAATTTCTAGATCACATACTTGTCCACAGATCTACAGGATGCCTAATTTTTTACTTATCGATTAATAAGTTCTTTAGGTCATGTAACACATATGTCACTAGTATTTTTGTATAATTTTCATTTGCCTCTTACCTGTGTTCATAGTAATTAATGTCTATGGCAATTAAAAAATATATATCTGTATCTACAAAGTGAAAGGGTTTTGGCCCAGACAGGACACTGTAGCCAGGAAAGCCTCAACCAGAAGCAGGAATCCCCTATCTCCCCCGCCCCTAGGAAGTTACCTGTGACACCATCTTCCCACCCCTGGAAATTTACATATGGTGCCAAACCTAGGACCAATGGGCTGCCTGTGCATCCCTAATGCCCGCCTTAGGTTCCACCCCAAACCAAGGCTATTTACATGCCCTCACGCCATGTGTCTGCAGGAGAGATCACCGGATGCCAGCGCTGGGAGGTGCTGGTCATCTCTCTCCGTGTTCTCAGAATAAAGGCCGCTTTTTTATTTTATACTTCTCATCTTTTGGAAATATTTTTCATCTTTTGGCAATAATCCTAGCACAAAGCAATCAGTATTTTCTTGTATGGCTTATTCCTCTAGGTCATTATTTAGGGTTTTCTTCCTTACCCCAAATCATACAAGATTTCACTATTGACAGCAATCTTTTAGTGCATATAAGTACACACATACATCTAAAAAGTACATTCTAGTACCCACAAACACACTTTTGATTTTACTATTATAAGCTTACTTCAGTACTCCTAAAATAGAAAAAGAAATCTAACTTTACTCTCCTGAGATAATCATTGTTAAGTGTTTAGTAAAATTTTTCCCTGATTGTTTTTGTGCCCCTAGGCAGGAATATATACAGTAGATAGATATCTATCACTTGTCACTTAGCAACAGGAACTTATTCTGAGAAAACTATCACAAGGCGGTTCGTCACTGTGTGACCGTTGTAGTTGTGTGCTGTGGTGTGCTGGGTGATCTCCCGCAGGCCCACTGCACAATGCACCATCTCTTATTGACCAAATCCCTGTCTTACGCGGTGTGTGACTATACATACATACACAGACCTATACAGATTGTCTCACATTCCACTTAGAATGTATCACAGCTTTCCCAGTGGGTACACAGAGCTCGGCCCTATTTCTGTAACCACAGCATTATAGATCAGCATACAGATAACATCCCGATTTACTGCCTGGCGCAGCAGCATAGCCTGGTGTGGTTGTACAGCCGGGTAGGGTGGCACATCCCCGCAGTCCCAGCACTCAAGAGGCTGAGGCAGGAGGAGGCCACGAGTTTGAGGTGAGCCTGGGCTACAAGGGCAGCCCAAAATGCATAGTGAAAAAAATAGAAAAAAAAGAAAGAAGTGATTAGGGCTGGGGATACAGCTCAGAGGCACAGCCCCTGCCTGGCAGGCGTGAGTCATGTGTTTGATTCCCAATACCAAAAAAAAACCCAGCTAAAATAAAATTATTAATTTCTCCTTTATAGGAGAATGTTGAGAGCATTCTCTTGACACTAGAAGTCAATAGAAATCTCACATCCTATTTTTCTAAGCGACAATTGACACTCACTTTAAAGAGCGCCTCTTCATAGTGGGACCTGGGCCGGAGAGACAGCAGGAAGGTGTAATATCGCGCAATCCGGTCAAACAGCTTGTTCTGAGTCTCCCTGTTCGGCTGCCGGGACAGAAAGGGGAAGGAATCACTCTGACACCCTTGCGTTCTCCAAGCACTGCTCTCCTTTCCAGCTACCTTATTCTTTCATTTTTTTTAAAAATTTTATTATTTTTTGGTACCGGGGATCAAACTCCCGACCATGCGCTTGCAAGGCAGGCCCTTATGCCGCTGAGCTAAATCCCCGGCCCCAAGTGACTTTATTCTTAAGCTACTCAGCTTCACATGCTTTATGAACTAGTCCCTCGCCTAACAGGCGGAGCTCTGTTGAAGAAAGGATTTGAACCCTGGGCCAGGAGGTGTTGAGTTTGACTCTCAGCCTCGCCCTTAACCAGCAATGTGACATGGACCTGCTCCTAAAGGATGCTGGGTAACGGCTGGAGCTCGGGGTGAGACCTGAGTAGGGAGTGGAGGTGACAAGGGAGCGGCAGAGGTGCCTCTGAGCTCATGTCAAAGAGGCTGGAATCTCAAGAGGCTGCACAGGAGGATTGGGCCTTCAGGGCCAGCCTGGGCCACCCACTGACACCCTGTCTCCTAAGCGGGGAGAAAAGGGGCTGAAATTTATTCTCTGACAAATAACTGAAGCAAGGAGAGAAAAACAATTAGATGTGCATTTACCTGGTATATATCATGAAATATCCACCAAAAGCTATCCAGCCATATCGCTTTGGTAGCCGGAGAAGAGAGAAACTTCTCCAATTCTGTATTTGAACACAAAGACTTAGGGGGGGAAAAGTTCACATTATTATTGTTGATTTTCTTTTACTCATTCAGGGCCACAGTGAGATTCATAATCGTCTTTGCACAAAGCTGCCTCCCCTCCTGTGTCCTGTCACTGTCGTGTGTGTACCTTGGGAGACCGTGTATTTGGGGGCATTCTCTAAAAAGCCACCTTGGGCCAGGGATTTAGCTCAGTGACACAAGCACCTGCCTGGCAAGCACGAGGTTGTGGGTTCAATCCCCAGTATCCCCAAAAAATAAATAAATAAAAAGCCACCTCGCCTCTCAGGGACTGCCCGCGGTGCCTGGCCAAGTCAGGTGTGTGCCTGTCCTCCCTTCATACTCCAGTCCTCTTAGGAGCACACATGACCTTCACAGAGTGGGACAGCAAGGCTCTCAGAGGACAGTGAGGGCCAAAGGGCTGACAGCATTGGCCTAAGATAACACGACCTGGCGTGCAGAGCAGAGCCGGACCTGTAACTCTAGACAGCTTCCCTGGGCTCTCACCTCCTGGCTTGTTCAACAGTGACCAACACCCACCAGATAGTCTACAAACCCGAATTAGTGCGCTGAACCTGGGTGTGGCTCAAATACCTGTAATCCCAGCACTCAGGAGGCTGAGGCAGGAGGATCACCACAAGTTCCACACTAGCCAGGGCTACATAGTGAGTTCATGACCAGCCTGGATTACCTAGTGAGACCCTGTCTCAAAAGACCAAACACAAAACAGCAACCACAAAATAACTGCAGTGTAAGATGTGGCTGAGTTAGAAATAAGTCTGAGAAGTTCCAACCTTAAACTTACTATGTATGAGTGCAGAGTGGCAGGAAATTTAGCTTTAGTGGGCACATCCAGGTCTAGAACCTTGTCCTAAGCCCAAAGCTCAGGGATATTTACTGAGGGCTTTATTCCTCATTCACTGAAATGGGGCCTCAGACCGAGCTGGGCAGCAGGCAGAAGCCAGGAAGAGGAGGGAGAGGAGAGGAGGGTGGAGGGTGAGGGCCGTGAGACTGGAACATCAGTGAGGACAGGAGGAAGGGACTGAGATGTCTACTCCCGGGAATGGCAGGGCAGCCAGTGGAGGGCAGAGGGGACACTGACTAGAGCTGCTCCCGGGACACGAGAGTTACGCGATTGTGACGGATGAAGAGGCAGAGGGTACAGGGAGTCCTCTCCTGACAGTCACTCCCAACTCCCCGGGGTCCGTCTCCCTGGGGTCCTGCGGTGTGACATTCTGTCTTCCTCGGTCCCCAGTGTGTGCAAGTGCACTGCTCTGAGGCACAGTTCTCTCCCCCAGCCAGGAAGAAAAGATGCAAACTCAGGTGTGACAGAGAAAGGAAGCAAGCCAAGCTCCCCAGTGGGCAGCGGAACAGGGCTGGTGTCCACAGGGCAGCATATGATGGGGCCCACAATCAAACCACCCCGGGGACCACCGCCCAGGGAAAAGCCATCCGGGTTTTCTGTGACCTTGGGCTGGAGTCCCCAGCTCAGCCCTGTCCCCAGAGCGCGTGGCCCCAGGCTGGTGAGCCACCATCCTGTCCTTACCTTGCCAGTCAGCGGGTTTTTCTCAGCACGGACCACATTGCCCACCATGTCACAGAAGTTCACCCCATTGGGGAGCTCATTGGGCCTGCTGTCATTAAATTTGGGGGGCTGGTACAGCTCAGCCAGCAGATTTTTATCTGCAGTTTTCTGAAGCAAAAAAAGAATGTGAAGATGGGTTCTGTCATTTTGACAGTTTAGGACAATAGAATCTCTTCCCCTTGGTATTAGGGAGGCAGTATGACAATGTCACAAACCTTGTAATGAGCAGGCTTCATGGTTCCAGCACACTCACCAGATGTCTGTTCACTTTATTTCTGTTTTCCTTTAAAGGCTTTGAGCCAATATATATATTAAAGACAGGATCTCTCTATGTAGCTCAAGCAGGCCTCGAACTTGCAGTGAGATCCTCCTGCTCCAGCCTCCCAAGTGCTGAGATTACAGGTGTGCACCACCATGCCCAGCATATATATGCAACTTTAATCATTATACACACAGACACAAATATACACTTTTTTTTTTTTTTTTTTTTTTTTTGGTCTTTTTTCCTTTTCATTGGTACCAGGGATCGAACTCACGACTGCCTGCTTGCAAGGCAGGCGCTTATGCCGCTGAGCTAAATCCCCAGCCACACAAATATACACTTTTATGTTCTGCTTTATCTACTTTAGGCTATTCATCCAGTTGCACCGTCTTCAAAATTATCATTTAAAATACTACAATTTAAACTGGGCATGGTGGCGCATGCCTGTAGTCGCAGCACTTGGGAGGCTGAGACAAGAGGACCGATGCAAGTTCAAGGCCAGCCTGGGCTATAGAGAGAGCAAGCCTGTCTCACAAAACAAACAAAACAAAATACTACAGATTACTCATTGATTGTGTCTAATAAATATTAGTCATGAATAACTTGGGAGTATATAGTCCCCCAAACCCCCCTCCCTTTTAAGTCATTTATTTAGCATGATTTTCTCAAAATGGTGACACTGGATCAAAGGATATGACCTTATGATATTTAACAGGTAACATTACATTGGTTTTTAGTAGATGATTTTTATAAGAAAGATAAAAACCCAGAAAAGTAAAAAGACAGAATTCCCATTCCCCCAAGGCACCTCCTGGAAACGCCCTGAGGGACAGAATTGTCTTCTCATGGGCTCTGGTGATTTGCAGTGCAGAGCAGTGTGGTGCTTCCCTGCCTTGACCCGGAGTCACGTGGCAGTGCTGTGCCACCGTGGGCGGGAACCTACATCTGCTCGGCCACCACTGATGATGGAGAGCAAGACAATCTCCATACCACCTCAGGCACCCTTGGGCTCCATACTGTTCTGGAATTTGCCAGGCTAGCAGGTGTACAAGGGTAAAATAACACAGTGCTTCGTGCTGTCCAGCATGCAAAGCTCTGGGGGTGTATGCCCGGGGTTCTTTAAAACCCAGGCAAGAGAAAGTCTCTTTTTAAAGTCAGGGTCTTGCTATGTAGTTCAGGTGGGACTTGAACTCACTCTGTAGCCCAGGCTGGCACTGCACTCATGGCAATTCTTCTGCCTCAGCCTCCAAGTACTAGGAATACAGGTGTGGATTACCATGCCCGGCAAGAGCAACGTCCTTTCAGATTTTTAAAATCTTTTATTTTTGCGGTACTAGGGATCGAACCTGTGGCCGCACACGTGCGAGGCAGGCATCGTAGCACTGAGCTACACCCCCGGCTCACAGGGGAATCTCCCCAGGGTGGATACGAGGGAGAAGGCAGTCAGAGGCACAGCGAATGGCCCCCTCCTTCCTTTGTATTGTTATTAGCGCGTGTGTGCAGTACGCAATGATGGCGTTCATCGCGGGGAACTGGTCCATGGGCAGAAACACCGTCTTTCTTTCCACATCCCCCACCCCCATTGCTTGTCCCCTGCCCATCTGCAAAAGGCCCATCGCCCTCACCCTTTTCATAATTGAGGAGCTGGTCACCCTCAGGGCCACGCCTGTGCAGTACGGTGCTTTTCTCTCTCTCTTGGCTGCAGAAGAATGAAGGAAGAGAAATCAGAAATGAGGAACTCCATGGCCCGCTGCTTGGTGGTAACTGCCCTGTGACTTGTCACTCATCTGAGCTGCCAGGTGACACCAATCAGCCTGCAGGTCTCACTAGCTCCCAGCTGTATCACTCACTTACTAAGATCCCCCTCCCTAGGGACTCGGTGCCGTGGCCCTGGATAGTATGGCCCTCCCTCCGTCCTTGCCCAAGATGAAGAGGTCAGATGTAAGGCTCCTCCAGAAGAGGACAAAAATACCCTCTTGTGGAACTCAGGGCTCCTACTCAATTGGACTTTAAAAATCAAGACTGGGGATGTAGCTCGGTGGTACAGTACTTGTTGCGTAGGTGCAAGGTCCTGAGCTGGCTATCAGCACTGCAAAAACTAATAAAAACAACAACCAAAAAATTTTAAAAACTTGTAAAAATCCCACGAAGACACCTTCAGGGCTATGAGAAAAGACTTTTGCCTCTGTCTCCTGGGCTGCTGCGCCTTTTCTCTCTTAAAGCCTTCTTCTCCATTTCAAATCTCTCAATTGCCTTAAAAACAAAAACAGGAGAAAAAATGGGGTGTTAGAAATTGATGGAAATACTGGAGAATGAGGGGAACCTGCTCTCTTGGTACCCAAAAGGCCTGGGGCGAAGTCTGGACCCGGTACCTCCTGCCTTCCTCCTATGGCCCAGAGGCACTGGTCTCCCTGAAATCCGCCCCAGTGTCACCAGGACATCCACCTTCCAGGGTCCTTTAATGGTCACAGATAAAAGTATGTGATAACACTGACACAGAGGTCATCAGACAGGGTTGCTATGAAATTATTAATCATCAAGAGAGTCCCTGGATCTCTCATTTCCTCTACCCCACCCAACTTCCTTTTAGAAAAGAAAACAAAATGAGCATCATGACCCAGAGTTGTATTGATCTCAACTAAGAGTCCCACACCGTGCTCGGATGACAGAGTTATCTATGTGCCGGATGCTGGATGCCAGCTGCCAGCACAGAATGGGTGATGAGAAACCAGTGTGGCGCTGAGGCAGGAGAAGGGGGCACCCGGTAGAGGCCTGGTATACAAAGGTAAGAGAAAACTCTGGTCCAAAGAGGGTGGACAGGGTGGCCCAGAGATGGGCTCTATGGGGTGTAGGTATCGGCAGATCTGGCCGAGTGCCTGGGCAGAGAATAAAAAGGCCAGGCAAGGAGTCCTTCCTCCAGGTCACGGTGGGACTTGGCAGAGGCAGAGAGAGAGGGAGGAGGAGGCGTAAGACTGAGGCAGGAGGATCACTGAGGGCTTGAGGTTAGCCTGGGCTACAAAGTGCGCTCAAGGCCAGCCTGAACTGCATAGCGACACTGTCTCAAAAAGACAAAAAAAAAAAAAAAAGATTCCCAATATTGCCCCCAAATAGTGAATCAAAATTAATCTTCCGACTTCTAGTTTACAGTCAAACGTATAAAAACTCTCAGGTGGGGACATAGGTCAGCGGCCCAAGCGCCTGCCTGGCAAGCGTGAGGTCATGAGTTTGATCCCCAGTACAAAATTTAAAAAGCTCAAAAGTCAGAACTCTGCCCTAACAAATAAAGAGCAGAAGAAACAGAAACAACTTATTTTAGGTCTTTTGAAGAACTGAAGTCATAGGGCAAACTACTGCCCCCAAATGGCAGAGACAGGCAGATACAGGTAGTCACAACTCACCGGAACTGACTCCTCAGCAAGAACCAGCAGGAAAAACTGAACTATTGCTGGAGGCTCAGGGGTCAAAAAAATCGACTCAAAATGGATTACAGCCCTAAATGTAAGATGGGGGCCTGGTGTGGTGATGCACACCTCTGATCACAGGGCTCAGAAGGCTGGGGCAGGAGGATCATCATGAGTTTGAGGCCATCTGGGGCTACATAGTGAATCCAACAGCAGTCTGAACCACACAGGGAGATCCTGCCCCAAAACAAAACAAACAGATAAAAAAGTAAAATGCTGAACTATAGAAGCCCTAGAAAGCAGCATAGGGGAAAGCCTAGATGACCTTGGGATTCGTGATGACTTTTTAGATATGACATAGAAGCACAGTCCATGAGAGAAGGCCTTGAGAAGCTGCATGTCAGGAACATTAACATTTCCACTATGCCAAGTCACTGTCAGGGCAGTGATGCAACAACCACAAACTGGGAGAAAAATTTGCAGAAGATATCACCAGCAAACAAAGCACTCTTACAACCCATGAGTAAGAAAACGAACAACCCAGTTAAAAAATCAGGAGCTTTTGTTCCCTAGTACCAAAAAAAAGAGTTTCCAGAAAATGAGGAGCTGGGCCTGGTGACACATGCCTGTAATGCCAGAAGGTGGGAGGCTGAGGCAGGAGGATCACCATGAATTTGAGGGCAGCCTAGGCTACATAAGTGACTTCAAGGACAACCTGCACTAGATAGTGAGACTGTCTAAAAAAAAACTGGATCCAAGATCCTAACTGATACCAAAGACCCATTTGAAGGGTAAACAAGCATGTAAACACATGCTCTGAATCACACGGCCTCAGAGCAATGTGAATTAAATTAAGAAGACTGCACTCCTCCATAACAGTAGAGCAGCCAAAATCCATAAAACCAACACCAAGTGCCAGTGAGGTCAGGGAACAAAAGGAGCTCTCATTCACTGCTGGCCAGAAGGAAAGTGGTAGGGCCGGGGATTTAGTGGACATAGGTCAGTGGCCAGCACCTACCTGGCAAGTGTGAGGTCGTAAGTTTGATCCCCAGTATCAATAATAATAATAATAATACTGATAATAATAACACTGTTCATACACACACACACAAAAAATCTTTGAAGCCTCACTTGTGCAAGTACACCTGCAAATGAATGGACACTGGATCCCCCCAAGTGCTGCGGCACCCTGATGGTCAGGGGCCCCTCCTTCCCGGAAGCTGGTCTCAGTCCCAGCCCTGTGACTCACGAGGCTGTTGGCCATGGGGTCGGGATTCGGGTCCATCTCGGCGATCTTCCAGTTCACCTGGGGAATGGACCCGATGAGGCACGCTGGGAGAGGCCGCTAAGGAAGCTCTCAGGACAGGGTTACATGCTAAGTCCCTCCCTGCATTATTTTGCCTGTAAAACATACACACTTTTTTTAAATGGAGCTTCAGCTCCATTGAACCCAAGGCCTTGAGCCTACTAAGCAAGCACCTATCACTGAGCTGAGAGATGAGCGGGGCTTGGACCCCATCTCCTCACACTGCACCCTTGTGAGGTTTGTTTTTGTTTTGGAGACAGGGTTTTGCTCTACAGTACATTCAGGCCTCTAATTCACAACCTTCATGTCTCAGCCCCCAGAAGCTGGCATCACAGGAATACCCAGCACGCCTGACTACACCTCCCCTTGTTTTAAGTGAACTGCTTTCAGCTGGGCGTGGTGGCACATGCCTGTAATTCCAGCATTCAGAGGACTGAGGCAGGAGGATTGATCGCCTTGAGTCCAAAACCAGCTGGGGCTACATAGTGAGTTCAAGACCAGCCTGCAAGAGCCTGTCAAAAACAAAAGTGAGTGAGATGCTTTAAAAATTATAAATGCAACTGACCACATTGCAGACACTTTGGAAAATATAAAAAGAACAAAGAACCATTCATGCTAACAATTTAATTAGGGTCTGGTGACATTGCCTCCAATGTCCTTTTTTTAATTTAAAAAAACCTTCATTATTGTAAAAGACACATTGTCATGAATCCCCCTCAACACACAGAACACCCTTGTCCCATCATTCTTGCTGCCTTCTTTGGTGAATGTTTATTAGTACACATCTGGAGTACACAGCGGTCACATCCATCGTGGGGACTTGGTACGTGCACATAATTCACCTTCACTCTCTCTCTCCCCTCTTCCTCGCCTCCTTCCCCCTCTCTCCATCAGAATTCTAACCTCACCAAATGCCTGCTTTACTGCCCTGACTTCCACATAGCTGTGGGCATTTTCCAAGTGACCGAGTAATCCTAATAATTATTATTTTCAACAGGATGATACAAATCCATTGAAAGGATGGACCTCAGGACACTCACCTCCCCCTTGGCTGCTGAGCATTAAACTGTCCACAGCTTCTCACAACCCCTAGTAATGCTTGGACGCACAGGGTCACGCAGAGAGCCGTCTCTGTATTTTGGAACATTTCAGGTTTTTTTCTCTTAAAAAAAAATGTTTTATAAGTACATGTTTGCAGTAGGTGCAGCTTACAGTCCTCTTGGGGAGTGGTGCATGTACACCATACAGCTTGTTGCTTTTCTTTTCTTTTCTGGTACTGGGGATCAAACGACCTTGCACTTGCCAGGCAGGCGCTGTGCCACCCAGCTATATCCCTGGCCTTTGTTTCTTTACTTTAATTCTTTTCCTCTTCCCTCCCTCCTCCTCCAAATCCCCCGTCCTCATCATCATTCTTGGTGATGTTATTAATCTTAGCTCCGTGTGGAACGTTCAGGATCGTTAGGTTCTGCATGTGACATATCTGGTCTTTTTCTTTTTTTTTTTTAATTGGTACTGGGGATCAAACTCACGACCACACACTTGCAAGGTAGATGCTTATGCCGCTGAGCTAAATCCCCAGCCCGCATGTGGCATACCTTTGTTCTTCTTATTTCCCTTCCCCCCTCCTCCCCCTCTGCTCCTTCCCTTGGGCCCCTTCTCTATGGCCAGGGATCCATCCCTTTGTTGTCCCCTCCTCACATCCTTTGTTATTCTCTTTGTTTAAACTTTGCCTCACTCAAATGAGAGACACCATATGGTACTGAAGCTTGGGTCTGGTTTATTTTCACGCTGAAATTTCTTTAAGAGCGATTTTCAGGTGAGGGATGGCTGGGCCAGAGGGTATCATGAGCCTGTTTAAAGTGAAACACACTCCTTTCGTTGTCCCCTTCCCCGTGCCCTCTGGACTTCTGCATTTCTGTCTGAGCCTCAGCTGGTTTAGGACACAACCTTCGTAAAGGCCCCATAATCCTCTCTCTCCTCAATCTTCTCAGAGAGCAGGCTTCACTCTCCCTTCTATTACCCTCAAGTGGCCTCACCCATCAGAGGACACTTGAAAAACAGGACGCCGAGAAGGGCCGTGACAGAGCAGAGAAAAGGAAATGCGTCCGTCTGTCTGTCCGTGAGGCTGAGATAAGCCTGGGATTAGGAAGCGAGAGGGGGCCCTGGAATGGGCCAGCAAAGGGAGCCCCTGCAGCTGCTTCAGAAGGGATCACCTTGCTGCTCATAGAGGCCAGCAAGGCGGGGCACAGAGAGGTCCGAGCACTTTGCCTGGTGGCCGTGTGACTGATGGGAACAGTCCCGGGTTATTTATAACCTGAGAGGGCTGTTTGCTGGGGGGCTGGCGAGGCCTCCAGAGATGGGGCTCCATGACGCTGGGATGCAACTCAGAAGAGAGAAGGGTCAGTGAGGATGGGGCCAGGGAAGGTGGACATGGGCAGGCCCTGGATGGTACTGGGCGGGACAAACAGCAGGCCTGGACTGAAGGATCAGTGGGCAGAGAGGTGAGGTCAACCAGAGTAAAGACAGAAAGCCGGGTCCCCAACTCACTTTTGCCTTATTCTTTTGGCAAATACCTCCAGGGATTTTTCCTTTTGGACTCTTTCTGATTATATCAGCAATAAAACAAGTCATCCTGGGGATGTAGCTCAGTGGTAGAGCACTCGCCTAACATATGAGGCCCTGGGTTCCATCCCTAGTGCCCCCAAACCAAACCAAAACAAAAACAGCTTAAGTCAATGCTTTGCAGCATCATATTCCTTTAGAGGATAGGTTTAAGTACTCGAAAAAAATTAATGGGTGACTATGGAGTGGGCTAGTAGGTAACTTGCACTATAGACACAAGCACAAATTACACCTCCACAGCCTAACTTGGGTGCATCTGGTCTGGTTTTCAGCCCCGCCTTGAAGGATACTGGACAGCTGCTCCTCTAAGCCCTTCCTCAGAGCACGCTCCATCGCCTTCCAGGCACTGAGTGAGGCCGCCCGCTGCTCCGCCATGGGTATCACCGGTAAGGCGGCGGCGTTGATGATGTCCATCTGTTTGCTGAAGTCCATTGTCTAGCTTTGTGTAAAGCGGCAGACAAAAGTCCCCACGTTCAAAAGCCTCTCATTTCCCCCGCCAGTCTTGTTCTCTGTTTAATCAGCCTCCTGGAAATCATAAATAACATAGAGCCAGCTTAGGAAACACAGAGGGAAAAGTCCAACATGGTCACCGCTCAGCAGGGCTGATGGCCAACGCATGACCTGGCCTCTGTGGGGAAGAAAGGCTTTTCCCTGGGAAGCCCATTCAAAGAATAGGTAGGGACTCATTTTTCAACACGTGGACGCATGTTCTACCCGTGATTAAAAACTGTCCTAGTTTTAAAAATGAAAAGACTACAGGGCTGCCAAGCCCAGGGCTTCCACACTACTCAGCTCCCAAACTAGAGTGAAAGCAAGACCCTGGTCACTGAGCCTCAACTGGCAAGACAGGAGACTCAGAGTAGATGACCCAAGCCTCTTCAGGATCTCCTATGGGATGATTCTAGGTCCTAGGGCCCGATTCCTCAGCATGAAACTCCCGATATATCTGGGGTTTCTGCTTCCTCTCAGGAAACTGGCCTTGTGCCTGTCCTTCCTCCCTGGCTCTGGAACACTCCAGCTTGACTGCTCTCCTGGCTCCTTGCTCAGTGGCCAAGGATCTAACACTACTATTTCTTGGCACCCCCCTGTCCGGAGCCAGTGTTAGTGGCCTGGTCACACAGAAGTCAAAGCTGAGATCCGATCTTCCAGCAATTCATATGTGGGAAGCCGCCTATGAATGGCGCCCATTTCCTGCTTCCGGGTTCTTCCCGGCCTGAACAAGCCCGCCAAATTGTCATATCTGCCCAGTTACCCGTGACGCTAGCCTATCAGCTTGTTAGGCGCGCTTCTCTGTGATTGGATACTGCTTCCCCTTATAAGAGGTTGTTCCTGACCCCAACGGCGGAAGAGGAAGCAACACTGAGGGTGGCGGACCTTGTCAGGTCCGGTTCGCTGTACGTAATAAAGTTTGAGAGCTGATCCTGCTCGAGTTTGGTCTCCTGTCTCCCGCGGCTCCGGTCATTCATACACAGTGGAAGGAGCAAAGAAAAACCCAAGTTTGCTGGGAAAGTTCACCCAGGCGGCCGCTCACTGCTCTCTCCTCATCTCTCCCCTGGGTCAGCTTGTCTCCAGCCGTCTGTGCCTGACCCACTCAACTTCCTCCTGGTCCATATATCTGTAGCATTGATGATGCTGTTCCATCTATTGGACTCAGCCCAGGTGAAACATCTTTTGGAAAAATTCCTAGAATCATTCCAAGCCAGTATCACCACACCTCCTCCACAAAGCCCAGAGTTCTACTTAAAATATTGAACTGCGAAGACTGTTTCTACATCTTTCTCCATTAGGCAATTTACTCCTTGGGGATTAAGTTCATTTCAATATTTGATTTCTTTTGGCTTCACTCACTACACTGCTTTGGAGTCCACAATCAGCTGGATCATAGGAAAGGCTGGCGTTGGCCCAGATCAGTACCATTTCTTGTCCCCTGCTTCTAGACATATAAGCAGAGGGGCAAGGGGTGGAAGGAGGCAAGTGCATTTCAGGGCTTCCCATTTTCCTCCCACCTGTTCCCCAAAATGATTGGAAAACTACAAGATAGTCTCTGAGAAGCCTCGCTTAGGTGACTCTGTCAAAAGGTCTCCTGACTCAGCGATAACATTATTACTCATGCCTAATGGGAGGCTGAATAGCACACTTCTTAAGACAAATGTTTAAAATACATACTCTGTTCCCTGATGAATTTTTCATCAGAACATTTGAGTATTTTTTGAAGCCTGGTAAGTTTCTCTGTCATTATTTGAGTAGGAGAAGGAAGAAAACTAGCTTCATTGAGTAGCTACACTGTTGTAAGCTCTGTGTTATATCCTGGGGCAGAGGAGGGGAAACCCTGCACCCGGAAGGAGCACAGATTCTGGCAGGAGGGATTTCAGTATCCCCTGCTGAAGGCTGGCACATCCCAGCATGTGAGAAGCGTGCTGGCTGTGGAGTCAGGCACACTCCTGCCACTTCACCCTTCAGTCCCATGACTACACTGGACACTCCTCACAAGCCAGCAGCGTGCTGTTCCTGGGGACAGGATGGTGGGATAAACCAGATTCTACTGCTACTCTAGTAATAGTGCATACATCTCCTGGGAAGCACTTGTGAAAGTCAAATAACTTCATAAGGAAGTATAAATTCTAATTCAGGAAGAACAATCATGAATTATAATGGTGGATACCTGTCCCTTGTTTCACAGGGAGGTGCCAGGGGCTGGGATGGAACACTAGACTGGTGTAAGGTAATCCAGAGGGATCCAGGCGCTGAAGGAAGAGGGGTTAATTAGATAAGGTGGAGGGGAAGGAGCTTACAGAGGGCCACAACACTGGAAAGGCTGGAAGGGACTAGACTTGCTCTGCCTGTCACAGAAGCCACTAGATACATGTGACAACTGACCCCTTCAACTGGTTAGCATGATTGACACATTTCATTTTACTTGGTTTAAATTTAAAAACTGAAACTATTACATTTAAAATAGTGATTGAATTTGAAAAAAGAAATACTGCATGATGTGAAAACATTCTAATTCATTTTACTTGTTTTGTTTCCACTTTTTAAAATGTAGCTACTAGAAAAGTCCGGATCTCGTGGTTTACTTTATGTCTCTGAGAAACAGTGCTGGCCTAGACAGTGCGGACTTCGGATCCCGGACACAGAACTGTGCCGCGCTGTAATGCAGTCTGGTGTAGCTGGAGGAGAACTGAGCTTGGAGACAGAGACCAGGGATATTGTCCTTCATTGCACGCATAACCTAGGATACCCAAGTACCTGAGTTTCTTCATTTACCAAATGGTACCAACAATACAGGATGTTAGGACAGCAGGAGATCTGAGATGGATTCACTCAGTTTTCTGCTCGTGGCTCACTAGGCGACTTGGAAGTGGTTCAGGGCCTCAGTTTCCCTGGCTTGTGAGAAGGGTCAGGGCATGGGGAGGGGACAGAGCTGCCCCGAACCCCTCCCCCCCGCCCTCGTGCGTGTCGAAATGGAATCACCGTCCATCTGTCAGCTTGCCCTACCTGAAAGCATCGGCAGAATCCGACGAACTGGTGGCGGATGACGCCACGGGTCCCTCAGGGAACCACATGGAGTTCTGGGTGGGCACCCGGCACCCGCTGCCCACCATCCACCAGGAAGGCGTGGCCTTTGCTTTGTGGGCGGGGCAGGGTAGGAGAGGAGTCGGGAGGGGCCCATTTTGCTTCTGTGACCCTGTCCGGGTGTTCTCTAGGCAACTGTGTGCGCTTTCACTAGTTTCACTTTTCCTACAACCACGGAACCCTGGTTTGCTCAGGCTGTGCGCGCAGGACGCCGTTACCAAGGTAACAGCAGCCAGACGTTTGGGGACCAGACCAACGTATTTGCTGGGGGACGGTGTAGCTTCTCGTTCCATTCTATAACACGGAGATACGAAGGACTATAAAATATTTAATTTGTATAACAGTTAGTATCCGGGACGGAGCCCACAAACCTCTCCGGTGCTTCCCGGGGGCGCTCCCGCTGGCCCCGCGCCGGCCCCCTTCTTTCTGATAGTAGAGTCCAGGGCGGGCCCGCGCATGCGCGCGGGGAGCAGGTGTGTGATTCTTGTTGCTAGGGTTCCGGGCGGGTCGTTCCTGTGGCATCTAGGGGTTGACTTTGATCCCAGCTTCTAGAACGCGATAGGTAAATCTATGAGCTTGGCAGGCAGCGAGCCCTGGGGTCATCCGAGGGCATTGGGACACTCTAGGTCCCCCTGGAGAAGATAGGCGAGGGTCGCCCCAGGTAGACTCCGCCTCTATCCCAATGTTTCTTGGGGTGTGAGCTGGCATGAGAGTTGCTCCCCGTAAATAGACTTGAAGTTGATTAAGATCCAGCGTGTGAATTTGTGTTCACACCCGTTAATTTAGTCCGTGAACCCTGTGGCCCGACCTGTGAGAAGTGAACCTGGTTGGCTCTTAACTCTTTAGGGGGACGAGTTTCCCTTTGAGAATCTGAGGAAAGTCAGAGATTCCTCCCTTACCTTGTTCTCAGAACTGATCAGTGTATTTTATGGCCTTTTGCAAGTTAAAGCTTTGCACAGCGCTTAGTGATTAGTATCTTTATCTATAGATGGGAACACACCTGATCCTACTCCTCGGGGTGCTGCGAAGGCCTCGGCGTGCCACGCCTCATGCGCACCAAAGTGCTCTACCAACTTGTGAGTTGGATGCTATTATTCGTCATGATTACAAATAAAGAAGCCATCCCGGAGGGAATAAATGCAAGACTCCCCTGAGAGTGATGGTTGAGTCAGGTGCTCTGCACCTTGAGCATAAGGGTCAGCTAGTATTGTGGCCCAGAATACTGCTTCAGATCCCCAGAGTCTCAGGCTCTCAGGCTCTCAGCCTCTCAGCCCAAGTTGTTTCTGAATTAGTAGATCTGACTTAAAAGGCAGCGTGTCCAGGCTGTTCCTTCCCCTCACCCACAACACTTCTGTGTCACTGAGTCCCAGGAACACCTGCTAAGAATGTTGTTGGGGGTAGGGGGGAGATGCCATTTGCACAAAGGTTGTATGGTGTACTTCCATAAACCAAATGGCATAATGGCCTGGCACACACATTGGAGATTGTGTGTGTGTGTGTGTGTGTGTGTGTGTGTGTGTGTGTTTGTATTAGTCTATTGCTTCTAGGGCCACAGTGAACGAAAACTCATGCAATTAAATGAAGCACAGGAGAAAATGATGCATTTATAAGATGTAGGTGACACATCTGAGGGGGCTGTGATGCTGTCCTAAACTGTTTTTTATAAGAAGAAGGAGTACACTAATAATAAAAGTAGAGCGTAGTAAAACACAGGTCAGTAGCATGGCCTTTAATTACTGGGTATTACGTGCCGTGTGCAGTTGTACCCACTGTACCGTATCTGACAGACCATGCCATAGATTTGTTTATGCCAACCTCAGCATAAAGGTGCAGGCAGTGTGTTTTCTCCAACCTCGGGCCGCAGTGTCAGGAAATCATAGGAATTTTTCAGCCCCATTGTAATCTTACAGGGCCACTGTTGTGTATGTGATTTTTTTTTGTTGATCAAAACTTTGTTACGTGTTGCATGCCTCAGTGGTCAGCAGTTTTTGGTCCATGACAATTAGTGAGCCATGCGTGAGAGGCCCCAGTTAAAACCACAAGAAACTGAGCAACTCAGTGGAGGTTTAGCAATCATCTGAGGCCAGAGCTAGGCCTGAACCCTGGTCTGTCGCATCCAGGTAATGGCCTTAGGCATAGTGCTCTTGGTGCAGTTGGGAAGATTGGCGAGAACCGCTTGACTGGCATTTCCTTCCTCAGATGTCTCCAGATGCTGGGAGGGACAGGGCTGCCTTCTAACTATTTGTTTTTTGTTTTGTTCATAACTGATACATGAGTATATTAGCATGTGAGGATCGATTAAATCTAGGAGCATATTTCTTTAATCTGATTTCATAATTTTTCTCCTTTTTGATACAGCATCTCCATATGTAGTTCAGACTGGCCTTGAACTTGCTATCTAGCCCAAACTGGCCTCAAACTCACAGTGATCCTCCTGCCTCAGCTTCCCGGGAGCTGGAATTATGTGTGTGTGCCATAACACCCAGTTCGTGTTGCATTGTATCAGATGAAATTGCTGAATTGGACCTATAACCTATAGGTTATTTTAACCTATAAAATGGCACTTTCACCCAAGGTAGTCAGCTCCTCCCCTTTTGAGGTTTAGCCACATCCTATACTGTGTGTGTCATCTCATTAGGGCCTGTGTCATATGCATTTTCTGCAGCTTGCTTCTTCATGCTCAGACGTGCTTTGGAGGTTTTTCTGCTCAGTCCACATCAGCCGTCTCACTGTAGGAGTTGCTGTTTGCTGTTCCTGGGTAAGAATGTGCCACGGTATGTTTGACTCCATCAGCTCTTGGCAGACATTTTGGAGCATTTCTTATTTTTCACTGTTATAAGTAATTGAGAACATGTGTGCATGTACAAATCTTTCTGGAGGATCAAATCCTAGAAATAACTTTGCTATCCAAAAAGGGTGCACATTGCTGTACATGGTGGCTCATGCACTCGGGAAGCTGAGGAAGGAAAATCGCCCTGAGTTCGAGGCCAGCCTGAGCTATGTAGCAAGACCCTGTCTCAAACAAGCAAAGAAAAAGTACGCATATTAAAAACAATTAAGTTGTGCCTAATTGTCCTTAAAAGAATTATAACAATTTATATATTTCTGCTGATAGTAAATTATCTTTTTCTTCACACTCTCACTCTCACCAATAGTGGATTTTTTTTTTTTTTGCCAATAGATAAAAATGTTTCTTTTAAGATGTGCCTCCTGCCAGATATGGTGACACATGCTTGTAATCCTTGCACTCTGGAGGCTGAAGCAGGAGGATTACTGCTAAATCAAGGCCAGTTCAGTGAATTCAAGCCAACCTGAACTACATAGCGAGACCCTGCTGGAAAAAACCACATATAAAAAAATCAAAAATATACCTCTCAAGTTATTAATATGAGGATAACTGGTTATATACCTTTAGCCAGCTATGGCTCTCTGCTTTGGGAGCATTGGCTAATTACTCTGGTTTTCTCATTTCTAATACAGATAAGAAAATACTGCTTCTCAGGATAATTGTGAAGAATGAAAGAAATATCTGGTGTGCCCAGCACTGAGGTTGACCTATAATTACAAGTAGGGAGTGATATTAGTTATTGTTATTGTGTGCTTTTTGTAATAACTTTCGTCTTTATCCCTGATCTGCTCTCTACAGACATCGATCGGTCTTTTCCCCTCTGCCACCCTCTTTTTTTTCTCCAGGAGAAATAATACCAGGTCTTCCAGTGTGTTTTGGATGGTGACAAAGCTTCAGACCTCCTCAGCATCTTGGTCCCCACCCCTGTCCCCTTCACCACCAAGTCGAAACTAACTGCTAAACATTGTGCTCAGGGACAATGCCAGCCCCTATGTCAGTGATGGCGAACATTTGAGAGCTTTCAGTGATACAAACAGCCCACCGCAGCTCGCATGCCAGAGCTTGGCCACCACTGCCCTGTGTCGTTGGCTTACAGTTATAGACACGTGCCTGCCAGTGAAACTGTCATAAGCTCACATCTTCTAATGGCTTGATTTTTATTTGCTTCTTTATTTATAGCTTGGGTTTTTTGCTAGTTTATTTGTTTTTGGTTTGAGGACCTCGATATGTAGTTTAGGTCGCCCTGGAACTCAGGGCGATGCTCTTGCCTCTGCCTCCTGAGTGCTGGGATTACAGATGTGCACCACCATGCCTGGTTATTTACTTATAACTTTTTTTTGCAGTACTGGGGATAAAGCCCAGGGACTCACCCACATTGGACACATGTTCTGCCACCAAGCTGCATTGTAGCCTGTTTAATTATGTACCACCTATACGTCTACTTTCGCATTGCGTACTATAAAACATCGAAAGACGTTTTCTATTTCCTGGATTATTTCATATATGTGTATTTAAATAAACCTGTGCATGCTGTTTTTGTTTTTCTGAGACTGGCTCTAAGCCCTGTAGTCCACCCTGACCTTAAACTTGGGGCAGTCCTCCTCGTTCATTCTCCCAAGCACTTGGATTATAGGCGTGTATCATCATGGCCGGCAGTAAATATATAATATAATCTATTCATTTGGCATCTCAGATTTATTTTTTGAAACAGGCTCTCACTAGGCAGTTCAGGCAAGGTTTGCACTCTTTGTTGCCCAGACTGGCCTCAAACTCACAAAAATCCTCCTGCCTCAGCCTCCCAAGCGATTATAGGTGTTCACCATTGGCATCTCAATTTTTATCTGAAACTTTTTTAAATGCTAATAATGCTTCATATACTTTTTTCTGTACTAAAGATTAAACCCACGACCTCACACATGCCAGGAAAGCGCTGACTGTGAGCCACCTGCCCAGCCTGATGAACATCTCAATCGTAGTCTCCTGTTCCTTTGGGTAAAGGGATCAGTATCTTTTCCTTGGATGTTAGCTTATTCAAAATCTTTTCCTGCATTTAATAAATACCCTGTAGTAAACATCTAAAATTTTTCTTTATTTTGATCATTTCTTTAGAGTGTGTGCTTAAAACGGGACTTAATGGACAGAAGACATGGGCACCTCTGAGGGTTTTTTTTTTTTTTTTGGTACCAGGGATCAGACTTACAACCTTGCACTTGCCAGACGCGCTCACGCCGCTGACCTGAATCCCCGCCAGCTGTGAGTCCCTAACACACGCTGGTCCCACTCTCTTTCCTCTCTTTCCTCCAGTCTCACCCGGCCTGCAGAAGCCCTCCGCTGACCTCACACCTCTTCAACATTCACGGGCACAGCCCTCTGGTCGTGCACTTCCTGCAGAACTACTCCAGGCTGTGCCAGAGCGGCCAGGATGTGCTGATAACCCGGAGGGAGAGGACCACGCTCATCCCATAGCCTTGTTGGTTTGGTTCTTTTTTTAATTTCCTGGATTTGTTTTTGGTACCAGGAATTGAACTCAGGGCCTTGTCCTTGCCAGTAGGCACTTGTGCCCCTGAGCTGTATCCCCGGCCCTGTTTGTTTGTTTTCTGAGGCAGGGTCTCCCTTTGTAATTGAGGCTAGACTCACTATGTGGTCCTGAACCCAGTGATCCTCCTACTCAGCCTCCGCAGTGCTGGGATCACAGGCACACACCAGCCTGCCAAATGTGTCCCTGTTTTACAGATAAGGACCTGGAGACAGAGGATGACAGGAAGGCCCCTAGCTGGTGATTCTCACCCTGGGGGAGGAGTGGAGGCAGGGTGCCACAGACAGACAGAGACAGAGAGCAGGAGGGAGACTTCAACACGCAGGCTTGGGATGGAGCTTGTGAAGCGGAGGAGAGCCGGGCCTGTCCTGCTCCCCTGTGTGACACTGCAGCTGGAGGTCCAGGCACAGGGCCATGGCGCCTTCCAGTCCCCTCCCATCAGCAGGGGCACAGCGGGAGGGCCGTATTCAGGCAAGGAGACCACAGCTTCGTCCTGCCCAAGCAGGCCATGGGGCTGTGGCCTGCTCAGAATGCAGGACTCATCCCTAGAAGCCCAGAAAGACAGGCACTTCCCCCGCTGCCCTTGCACCCCCAGGCCCTGCGCTAGGCTCAGGCTGCTAATAAGGCAGGGTCCACACAGCCCCAAGCCTGGCTTCTCCTTGACCTTGAGAACCACTGAGACCACCCTGACCTATGCCGGCATCATCAGCTATACTAGCTGCCTTCATGTAGAGTTACAATTTTGATAATATATTGAAGGTTATATTTTGGGCTTGTGATGTAGCTCAGCGGCACAAGTGCCTGCCTGGCAAGCACAAAGTCCTTAGTTTGATTCCTGGTACCAGAAAAAGAAAGCTGGTGTTTTGTCTTTTAAATAGCATCCATAAGGAGAACAAAAGGCGACTCATGCAGTGTGGAACATTGCTCACCAGAGGACAGGGCGTCTGGGGACCTCGGGGACTCCTGGTTCCCTAGTACAGCATCTGTTAGGGACACTGGCCTTGACGCTGGCCAGAGGTTGCTGCTCAGCTGTCTCCTGCCTTGTGCGGGACTCAGGTCCACTGATCGGCCTGTGTGGGGCTTGGTTCTTGGTCTGTAAAGCAGTGACACTACTGTCACCTGCCTCGCAGAGTACAGTGGGGTCCAAGGAGGCCGCTGGCTGCTGGCGGGGAGGCAGGGTCCCTGCAGCAGGAGGCGCTGTGGCTGGAAAGCCTGGGGCAGGGAGGCCTGAGCAGCTGGCCCCTCGGAGCTGGCTGTCCTGCAGCCCCTGAGCCATGTGTTCTGCCCGCAGGGCTCCAGCAGCAGGAGGAGACCAGGCTGCACCGCACAGGAGCCAGAGGAGGAGCCCGTTGGGTGCCTGCGCCAGAGGACCCAGGATTCAAATGCTTCCTGTAGAGCCCTGTGTGCCACGCACATGACTGATCAGAACCCCACGGATCAATGGCGTCCCACGCCTGCATTTGTCGTAGATGCTACAGACTCCTTAACAGTGGAAGACGTGAGCTGAAGTCTGTGTAGGCTTCAAAGCCTCTGGTTTTTCTGCCCCCACCCTGCAAATAGAAACAAGCTCCAAAAGAGTACGAAGAAGTTGCATCAGAAGATCCTAAAAGTAGGGCTATTTTTTCAACAGTTTCTTCTTTTGACTTAGGAAAAGACCCCATCATGGTTGATTTAGTCCAAGTCCAATGCTAGGGGTTTTGTTCTGTTTTGCTTTTTTGTTGTACTGGGGATTGAATCCAAAGTCTTCACACTGAGTACATCACCAGTCCTTCAAAGAATTTTTTTTGCGACAGGATCTCTTCAGTAGCCCAGGCAAGGCTCAAACTTGTGATCCTCCTGCTTCAGCCTTCCCCAGTGCAAGAATTACAGGTGGTGCCACCATATCTGGCTTCAATGCTCGTTCTTTAATACTGGTCATTTTACCTGTGGAACAGAAGTAGATGACTGCATAGGTTTTGTTTGTTTCTTGAAATAGGCCCAGGCTGGTTTCAAAGCCCCGGACTCCGGTGATCCCCTGCCTCAGCTTCCTCAGTAGCTGGGACCACAGGCATGTGACACCACGCCTGGTTTATGACAGCATCTTCATTCACTGTCATGTATATTAGTTGCTATTTTGTCTGTCTTGAATACCGCTAACCTGCTTCTTCATGCAGAAATGTCTCTCACATTTCAAGAGCCACCTGACAAGTCGCCCCATCCGGTTTTCCCATTGTGCACCCCGAGCTTCACAAACACCCCACTGGGAACCTTCTCCTGTAATGGCAGCAGCTGCTCGGGGTCACTTCCTGGGTGCCAGGCACTGTGGGACACACTTGACCTATCGTAACGCAGTGCTCACCACAGTGCTAAGTTCCATCACCATGGCGCCAAGTATGGCAGCATGGAGAGGTCACACAGCACGTGGCAGGGCCCGGCTTGAACTCAGCTGTCTTCAAAGCTCTCGGGTACCTCAGCCTTCTCCCGGGTCCCTCAGCCTTCTCCCGGGTCATGGGCTCTTTGCCCATCTCTGTGACCTGACTTTATGGTCCTTGGGTCCAAGGAGCCTTTCTCTCTCTCTCGGGTCTGATGTCAGTGACTGATTCACTGTCATGTGGTCAGCTGTGGCAGCCCGGTGCTAATTTCTGTCCTCTTTTCTAGGAAGTTCCTGCATTTTGTCTTCCAGCTCTTACTTTTAAAAACTGTCCTATAATGTTATTTTCCTAGTTTTAGTTCTCTCTTATATCTTGGTTTTTCCTTTTTCATAGTACCCTCTTGCCATAGATACAAGATTTTCATCCCTTATTGATGATATTCATCCTTAAAAAGAAGTTTCTGCCAGTGTAGTGCCATGTCTGTAATCCCAGCACTAAGGAGGCTGAGGCAGGAGGATTTCTGCAAGGTTGAGGCCAGACTGGGCTACAAAGTGAGTTCAAGGCCAGCCTGAACTGCATAGCAAGACTCTGTCTCAAAAAGACCAAAATAAAGTTTCTCTTTACCCCATACTGATTCTGTTTTATTTGGCTGTTTAGAACTGTTACCAAGTCCATGGATTCTTGAGCCTAGGTATCAGAAAAATCAGACAGCAGCACAATGGAGTGGGAACACGACTTTTATTTCTCATGGTCCAGTATAAGGGGGAAAGCAGTCCAGAACGGAAGTCCAGGCCAAATGAAGCAAAGGACAAGCCTCCGGTGCCCATGGCATCTGTGGCAGAGGCAGGGACTTGGCCTCTGAGGTCATCGCAGGTCGTGCTGGAACTCGCCTGCACATGCGCCCTTCTACGTCACCCTGTGTCCTTACCATCTGGGTCTCCATGCAGGGTGTGATTTTGCTTACTTTAGGGCCTATGCTACACATGCATTTGTCCCTTGCCAGCTGGAATTTGTTCTTACCATATGAGAAAGCCCCAGCTGGATTTTGGAACAGGGCAGATCCCTCCTCTGCCTTGATGGGTTTACCCTAATGACCTGGAGGTTTTGGCTCTGGCTGTGCGGGGTCTGCCTGACCGTGTGGCCTGGGAAGCCTGAGCTGACTCCCAGCTGCCGCCTGCTGATGCGTTACCTTCAGTTCACAGTTTTGAAGACTGGTCCCTTTTCAGCTCTTGATTCCCTGAGCGGGCGTCCCACACTTACTATTCAGATGGCCACTCCATTCGGTTTCCTTCTGGCCTCATAACCCCGAGCCTGTTTATTTCCATTTCTCCAGAAACAAACAAACAAAACCCTCCCAGTTTTCATTTGGGACTTCTGAGAAGTTCATGACAATTCTTTGAGGTAGTGTACAAGTTAGGGTTATCCTTAGTTGTATATGAATGGGAAACTGCCAGCCATGGTGCCAGAAAGTTTGATTCTCACACATAAAAGAAGCCTGGATGGTGTAAGGCTGGCAGGGACTTGAGGGTCTTCAGAGGCCCAGGCTTCATCATCCTCACCCTCAAAGTGCTTCAGGGTGTATGTCGGCTACTTTTCTCTCCTTGCTGGGACAAAATACCTGACATCTAAAATTAGGGAAAGAAGAATTTATTTAACTCACAGTTTGTAGAGGTTTCGGTCCATAATCAGGAGACTCCAAGGTAGGATGGTGTGGTAGAGGGACAACAGTTTATGATAGTTATCAAAAGTAATGAGCAAAAGGGGCAGAAAGAGAGGAGCAGGCCTCTTTCCCTCCCTTCCATTGTATGTAGGCTACCTGCCCCTGGACAGGTACAGCACTCACACCTCCAGTCCCAACACTAGACAATGAACCCATCACAAACACTAGACTCAGAGGGTTTTGAAAGGTACCCCCCCCCATTACTGCATGAGGCTTTGGGGGACATCCAGACACAAACCATAACAGCATGCCTGCGGCCCATCATCATAGCTGCTGGGGTGCCTGTCATTCAGTCTGTATTCCAGGCCTCCCGTTGGAAGAAGGCTAATTTCATTCTTTAAGCAGCCTTCCCAGAAGTCCCAAATGTTTCAGCTTACATCTTGCTAGTATGTAATGTGCTACAGAACCTTCTCCTTTAAAAAATAAAATATACATATATATATAATCTTTAAAGATCTTAAATATTTGTAATTTTTTTTTTTCTTTTTGAGACAGGGTTTCACTATGCAGCTTAGGCAAACCTTGAATTCACTTTGTAGCCCACACTGGCCTTGAACTCACAATGATTCTCCTGCCTCAGCCTCCCTAGTGCTGGGATTACAGGTGTATGCCAACATGCCCAGCTACTTCGTAATTTTGAGTCATTACTTTTTAATAATACTGTCAAAGTACCCTTTACCATAAAATTCACCTATTTTATGTATACAATTCAATGATTTCAGAAAAATCATTGAAATCTGATGACCACTGACATTTCAAGGACTCAACTGAAATCTAAAAATTTGCAAAGTTCACAACCATGATTGCAGTCCAGTTTTAGAACTCCTTGAAGACTTTACAACTCTCCCTCCTGCTCATCTGCTTTCAGTCCCTATTACGTGTCCTTTGGCACCTCCTTGCCTGGAAATATCATATAACACTGCTACTTTATGTCAGGGGCCAGTCAGGGGTGACATGGTACGAGCTGCAGGGAGGCTTGGAAGTGTGACTTGTTTTAAATCAGGACCCACTGCCTAAAGGAAAACCGGCTCCATGGCTAAATGCAAAGGGGAGGGCAGATGATGGCCGGTGACCATCTCTGTCACCGTTTTAGAGGTGAAGCCAAAGCTGAATGGCATTGAAATTTTTGCCCAAAGAAAACTTCCAGTCTTCAACCTTCCGATTTAAACTTTCCACTGAATTGAGAAAAGACCATGTGTTTTTCCTTGTGATACTGGAATTCAAACCCAGGATTTTCACACTGAGCCCTTTTTAAATTAATGTTTTAGCACCAGGTGTGGTGGCTCATGCGGGAGGCTGAGGCAGGAGGATCATTGTTAGTTTGAGACCAGCCTGGGCTACAAAGTGAACTCAAGGCCAGCCTGAATTGCATAGCAAGACCCGTCTCAAAAAGACAAAAAAAAAAAATTAATCTTTTAATTGAGTCCTGCTAAATGACTAAATTGCCCCCAGGCTGTGCTGGAATTTGTGATCCTCCTGCCTCAGCCTCCCAAAGTGCTGGGATTACAAGCATGCGCCACCACACCCAGAGCACATCATTTTTGATGATGGCAGTTTAGCTAGGGCCATGGCATCTTACAGACTTAGCGGACAATCATTAGTAACAGTCTTTGTAACATGCATCTTAAAACCTCAGACGCATCTCAGAGCCAGGCCGTCCACCTCACCAACATGCTCTGCCCGGACTCACTACCCGCCTGTGACCAGCCAGGCTGCCTCCCGCTGGTCCCTGTTCTGCGGTGCCACAGAAGGATGTGCAGGACAGCAAGCAGTGGGAACCAAGCTGGACGTGTGGCTTACTGAAAGAAACAGAAAGGAAAAAGAGGAAAGAGCTCCACTGTCAGGAGGGGCTCCAGGAGCTGGACGCCACAGCCAGGGAGGCCCCAGGACTTCTGTGCTGTCTTCGGTGCAGAAAGGTGCAGGGAAAAATGAGAGGTGGGGGGAGGCAGTGCTTGCCGAGAGGGCTGTATTATTTTTGTTCCCGTATTCCAACCTTCTTAGGCTATAGAAAAAAACAGCATATTTATTTACTTATTTTAGTCTTTTTGAAACAGGATTTCACTATGCAGTTCAGGCTGGCCTTGAGCTCACTTTATAGCTCAGGTTGGTCATGAGTTTGTAGTGATCCTCCTGCCTCAGCCTCCCAAGTGCTGGGATGACAAGCGTGCACCACTGCACCCGGCCTAAAACAGCATATTTTGGAATTTTGCCTCTCTATACTTCTCAAATTAGTCTGAAAACAGTACACTGATCTTTTTAACTTTCATTTCTATTTACTAACTCATTTTTATTTTATTTAAAGTGATACAGATTCATCCTTCAGGAGCAAAGCAGAAAGCCAGCTGTGGAGCAGGACTGCCTGGGTTTCTGTTCCATCTCTGCTACAACCCCTAATTGGTTGCCTTGAACGGTGACTAACTTCCCTGCCTCGGTTTTATTTTAATTTGTAAAAGGGAGGTGATAATAATAGGAATGGAATAGGCTGCTATTGACGGAGTGGAAACTTTGTACTCAATCTTAGCAGCACAGAGCATTAAAGAGAGGAGGCAAGTAGGTAAGAAAAGAGTTTGGGGGCCACGGGGGGAGTCCCCACAGAGAAGGCTGTGGCGGCTCTGCAGACAAAGGGCAGGTTCTGCCTGATGCAGGCTCTGATGAGGGGCGGGCTCTGGGGACTGAAGGGAGCCGATTTATTTTGTGGGAGTACAGGGGTTGGGAAACCTTTACACGCCTGAGCTTGGCAGACTTTTGGGAGGGAGAAGCCACAGGGGCTTCTGGGAAGAAGGAGGTGTGCATTATGGGGCACAGCTTTGAGCCGTTGCCATGATGACTGTGCTGTCTCTCAGCTGGGGATCTAACAGCTGTAAGGGTTCAATTGGCCAGATATTCCTAAAGCGCTCAAAACAAAGTCTGTTGCAAAGTAAACCCAACAGAAGTGCTCCTGAAATGAACTAATTCATGGTTCTACCAAGCTCGGTCCCAAAAACTGTCCTTTCCCAGCAACGACACTGTCCTACCTGTTCCCCTCTGGGTGTCTGAGTGCTGTGCTCCTTTCCTCCTTGATGTTTCAGATTTATTCTGTAATTTTGTTTATCTCATTAATCAGCATTATGATATCAATCCTGTCGTCAGCTGAACCATGAGGCCATGATATATACAATGGTTATTTTCTGTTTCTTTCTTACCCTGTTTCTTTCTGCTTCCTTCCTTCATTGCTCTCTCTCTCTCTCTCTCTCTCTCTCTCTTCCTTTTTTTCTCATTTTTTTCCACTAGAGACCTAACCCTGGGCTTTCTCATTGAGCTACATCCACAGTCATTTTTACATTTTTGTTTGGAGACAGGATCTAGCTAAGTGATCGAGGCTAGATTCAGACTTGCAATCCTCCTGCCTCAGCCTCCTAGGAATTCTGGGATTACAGGCATACTCAGCTTATTTTTCTTATAAAACTTTTGTTATCCTTGGAGCTAAGTCTGTCTATGCAGCTGTCTAAGATCTGTTTTAATTTGCTGGTTTCTTTACTCTGCGTTTTGTTTTGGCTTCTTACCCAGTTCTCACAGCTCACCTCCAAATTCTCCCACTCGGATCAGTCTTCACTCCGGACATGGAGACCCTGTAACTTCCCAGCCCCCGAGCTGCTTCATTCTGACAGGTTTCTCTGCCATTGGCCTAACCCGGGCATTCCTTCCTCATTCTGCTGATCATACTAGGTTTTAACCTGTTTCTGTTTGTGTCTTCAGAGAGACACAGGTCACCAAGAAGCCAAAAGCTCAGCCATAAAAGAAGCCGCTTCTCCTCAGCCCCTTACCACCCCCCTTGCATGGATGACTCTCATTCAAGAACTGGAGAAACTTCAGAGAGGAAGCTTGCACAGGTTGCTGGATTTCATCTAAAACAGAAAGAACAAAACAAT